GTCGCACGCATCTCTGCTTGTCTAGCTGACATCTCTCAGTGGATGTCTGATCATCACCTCAAGCTCAACCTTGACAAGACTGAACTGCTTTTCCTTCCGGGAAAAGATTGTCCCACTCTTGACCTAACAATCAACATTGGCACCTCTGTTGTTTCCCCGACTCGGACTGCAAGGAATCTGGGTGTGACCCTAGATAACAACCTGTCCTTCACTGCAAACGTCGCTGCTACAACCCGCTGCTGCAGATACACGCTTTACAACATCAGGAGGATACGTCCCCAGCTGACCCAGAAAGCGACGCAGGTTCTGGTCCAGGCTCTCGTCATCTCACGCCTAGACTACTGCAATTCCCTCCTGGCTGGTCTACCTGCATGTGCCCTCCGACCTCTGCAGCTCATCCAGAATGCAGCGGCTCGTCTGGTCTTCAACCTTCCTAAATTCTCCCCACACCACTCCGCTCCTCCGCTCCCTTCACTGGCTTCCGATAACTGCTAGAATCCACTTCAAGACAATGGTACTTGCGTACCATGCTGCGAATGGATCTGGCCCTTCCTACATCCAGGACATGGTTAAACCGTACACCCCAGCACGTGCACTCCGCTCTGCATCAACCAAACGGCTCGCTGCACCATCGCTGCGAAGGGGACCCAAGTTCCCATCAGCAAAAACACGTGGGTTTGCTATCCTGGCTCCAAAATGGTGGAATGAGCTCCCCTTTGACATCAGGACAGCAGATAGCTTACACACCTTCCGGCGCAGACTGAAAACTCATCTCTTTCGACTCCACTTCGAGCGATAGAATTATTAACAAAGCACTTATATACTAATAAAGGGCTGGCTTATCTAAAGCCAGTTGAGTAGCACTTGAAATGTTTTTGCTCTATGAAGCCTGATGTACTTATATGATTCTGTTTTCTTCAAGGTTGTATTTTGTTGGTCGAACGCACTTATTGTAAGTCGCTTTGGATAAAAGCGTCAGCTAAATGCAATGTAGTGTAATCTGTATTCACTAAAGCCCGCATCACCAGATGGACACACCAGATGTTCAAATTCGGCTCTGATCGTAACAACATCGGGCCATTCGTGAGGGCATCTTAAGCAATCGTATGACCGACGGTGGAGATTCTCAGGCTCCGGCAGCAACTTCGTGAGCAGTGGCAAAATCTTTGGCATGCCAAAAAATTGCCGACAGACCTTGCGAAGGTTCATTTTCGTGTTGAATTTGTGTGTCCATTTTGCCCTTCGTAAGGCCATCGCGAGGGCATCTTGTCAAATCGTGTCATCTTCCTCTCTACTTCGTGTGATCATTGGTGCCATCGGGCATTTTTCGCCTCACGAAGACAAAACGAAGGAAACAAGAATCTGCCCGATTGTCTTAGGAAGGCAACACGACTACGTGAAGCCCTTGCAATGCTGTCGTGTAGCCATCATATTATTAGTACAATTTGTGTTCTGTGAAACTGAAAATGATATTACATTGTTGTTGTTACTTTCGTTGCAGTTGTATGTATGTCTTAAATGTAATTTAGGTTAACTTCCTGTTTTATTTAGACGCTTTAATTTTGAAGGCGAGTTTACGCTGTTGACAGGAAGTTGTTATTGCTATGGAAACATGCCATCGTGTGGCCTTCTGTAGGCATCGTACTTGCTTCGGCTGTTGCTTAGCTGTTGACCAAGTTCGGGGCCATCTTCGTGCGAAATTCACAATTCCATATTCGTGTGTCCATCTGGTGTCAATGTCGGGACAGTGTGATAAGGGTTATAACTGACTGTGTTTGGGTTTAACTCACATGTTAGATTAAGTTTAAATGTAATTCAATGGTTAGCGTCACCACATGTTCCTGCTTTGGTGTCCTTTTAGCTCTTGATTCTTTCAAAAATAAAGCTGATTTTAATATATATATTTCTTCAAATCTCATTGAAAGACCTACTTTCTGTGGTGTTCAGCCCCAAGGGAATTGACACCAACTGAAGTAACTGATGTAATCTTGAAAGGAATACGGCTCAGATATTTTACATTTAATTTAGCTCCAATAAACCATAAAGAACAACAAGAAATGTGCAGATATTAGCTTTAAATAAGCCTGACCATTGTAAGTACTGGTGAAATTAAAAAGGGACTATATAATTCATTTTTCGTTTTACATGCATTTAATATTCCCTTAGTGATCCATGGTTTTTCAGCATATTTTTGTTTCACTATTTTCTTTAAACGAGGACAATGTTTTTCATACAGCCCTGATAGAATATGTAGAAATGATTCATAGGCTTCATTTGCATCTGGTACATACACTTTGTTCCAGTCTTGTTTATTCTTCTTTAAAAGAATGAACAGACTCTGGTGTTTTGTGTCTTGTAATTGTGACTTTTCTGGTGTCTTTTTTGATCCTAGTACAGTTCTGTATTGTTGCAAAGACTGGCAGGTGATCACTTGTGTCATTGATTAATATTCCACTTACTACTTTCCTATCCATAACATTTGTGAATATGTTGTCAATGAGTGTAGCACTGTGTGATGTTAAAGACTATGCTCTTTGTTGGAGCTATACATTACTTCATATCATTTAAAGCTCCCATGTCATGCTGTTCCGGTTATCACCCGTCCCCTTGTGTGTTATGAAGGTTGTTCTGCATGTGAACGGTCTGCAGAGTCACAAACCCTCAAAGTACACCCTGTAGCGAGTAAAACTCTAACACAGAGAAGACTTGTCTGTGCTGCCCCAGAACGCCTCGTTGGAGATTTCTCTTTTTCCATTGTTTACTTCCTGGGTATAGTGACGTAATGTCCGCGGAGCCGTTACGTTTGGACCAATCCGTGGACTTCCTCACACACACACAAACACACACACACACACTCACACACTCGGCGGGACGTTGCGAGGCTCGCTGCTGCGAGGAGCGGGACAGTGTGAGCTGGCTCACTGGTGTGGGGTCGGCGAGACGGCAAGACACCGCGCCTGTGCACACACACAAACTCCCAGCCAGGCTGCGGGTGTGTGTGTGTTTCGGGCTGGGTTTCGCGGTGTCTCGCTGTCCAAGGGCCACTGGGCTCACAGGGAGGAGGGGCAGGACCTCCAACAAGCCGTTTAGGAGAGTGAATACACATACTATGCTGTATGAGAAACCAATGTGAGTTTGGAACATTGCACGATATACATTTATTTTAGTAGACCTCAACAATGGAATTATGATCAGTAGAAATGGCCATGACGTGGGACCTTTAATAATTTAACATTTGTTTTCTTGTCGTTTCTGTGTATAGCAAATGTTTTATTATTAAGTTATTTTGAAGGCATCTTTGGGCACTGGGTTAATTGTATATATTGGTGACAAGTGGTGGTGGGAGCGCACCAGTATGGCATATGTTTATTTTATTTAATATCTGTTCATTATTCAATCGTTTGAGTTTAATCTTATTTCTTTATATTTTTATGTTGAATTTGTATTTATTTATCGTTTGTTTTTTAATTCAATTTTTTATTTTACAGATGCAGTTTTATACCGTACACATACATAAATACCGCACACACTAGCTCAATATAACTCTTTAGAAGTCAAATGGAAACTACTACAAAGTTATTTTTATCCATCATATCACGATTTAAGTGCCGTCCTGTCCAACCGTGATTTATTTTGAAGTCTCTCCTTTTATCTTCAAACGGCTGAGGAGAAAGATGGGAGATTCAAGAGACCAATAGAGATGATTTCTGGGTAACTCAAGAGCTTCTCTGGATATAAAACCCTGAGGGAAACCTTTGGAAGTATTCCCAAAACATTATCTAAAGAACCTCTTACTTTAATGAAACGCAAACACACTTAGCAGAGACCGAAAGAAAGAGATTAAAGGAGGGGAAAACCACCGTGACCTTTCTCTGATTCTGTTAACAGGAGAGATGTCAAAAGTACACACACCTTTACTCAAGTAGAAGTACAGGTACTCGTGTTTAAAAATACTCTGGTAAAAGTAGAAGTACTGACTTTGAAATGTACTTCAGTAAAAAGTACCCATAACTAGCAGCTGTTTTAAAGAGTACCTGACCTCCCTTTATATTAATAGAACAATAATGTCATTGTTAGCTAATGAATGTTTCCATGCTGAACAACGGCAACATGACAACGTTTCCATTGGTCCCTCTTCTTTAGAGAAGACCAGGAAATGATGGATACACGGATCGTGTTCAAATCAATAGGCACGCAATGACTCTAAAGAATAATGATCACGCATCAAACACACATTCAGACTAAAGGAACCAGCTGTTTGGAAAATGAGAGAAGTAGAAAGTACAGGTATTTGAGTTCAACATGTAAGAAGTAGAAAGTACAGGTATTTGGGTTCAACATGTAAGAAGTAGAAAGTACAGGTATTTGAGTTCAACATGTAAGAAGTAGAAAGTACAGGTATTTGAGTTCAACATGTAAGAAGTAGAAAGTACAGGTATTTGTGTTCAACATGTGAGAAGTAGAAAGTACAGGTGTTTGGATTCAACATGTAAGAAGTAGAAAGTACAGGTGTTTGGGTTCAACATGTAAGAAGTAGAAAGTACAGGTATTTGAGTTCAACATGTAAGAAGTAGAAAGTACAGGTATTTGTGTTCAACATGTAAGAAGTAGAAAGTACAGGTATTTGTGTTCAACATGTGAGAAGTAGAAAGTACAGGTGTTTGGGTTCAACATGTAAGAAGTAGAAAGTACAGGTATTTGTGTTCAACATGTAAGAAGTAGAAAGTACAGGTGTTTGGGTTCAACATGTAAGAAGTAGAAAGTACAGGTATTTGAGTTCAACATGTAAGAAGTAGAAAGTACAGGTATTTGTGTTCAACATGTAAGAAGTAGAAAGTACAGGTATTTGTGTTCTAAATGAGAGAAGTAGAAAGTACAGGTGTTTGGGTTCAACATGTAAGAAGTAGAAGTAAAAAGTCGTCAGTAAAGTAGTGATACCATAAAAATGTGCTTAAGTACAGTAACAAAGTATTTGTACTCCGCTACTTTACCACACCTACCTTCGAAGATATCCACCATGTTGAAGAAGGCCAGAGACAGAGAGGACTTCCCGCTGCCGGTGCGTCCGCAGATTCCCACCTGACGAAGAGAAGAGGGTCAGAGTGACACGTTGGTGAGAGTTCACACAGCGAGGTGACGGAGAGTGGCAGAGACGTGCCGAGTGTGGAGGGAGTGTCGTCTTCAGTTAATGAAACACACATGGCTGCGACTTCAGAGAAAAAGACGACGTTCAAAAGAAAATCTGGACTTCTTACGAGCATTCGAGACAGAAGAGTATAAGGGCAAAGCATGAGGAGGACAATGAGAGGGAGGAAAATGTTTGTTGAACTTTCAGTATAAGGAATAACAACGAGGCAGAGATTTATGAATCAACTATTTACCAGGGTTTTTTCTAGAAAGATATAGTATGAGGTGATACTGTGGCGCGGATCTTGTTTATAAGATATATCAATTCTCACTTCAACATGACGCCCATTTACAAGATGTCTCCCCGGACGTAAACAACAACAACGAGACGTCGGAGCTCCGTAAAAACAAAGCTGTCTCTGCCGTCTGACGCTCTGTCTGACTGGTCATATTTCTGGAGTAATTATACCGTTTTTGACGAACACAAATATTGTTTTCCGGTTTAGAACATTTATTTATTTTGAGAATAAATTGAAAATGTTGAGAATAACTGCACTTCCAATAATAGAGACAGGCATATACACAATAAATCAGAAGGAGGAATTTATTTTCAAATTAATCGCACTTTCAGTCGAATACTTTTTATTTGTTATTAAAAGTAAAAATATTGAGAAATTAAAATGTAAATGTGGAAATTAAGACAACATGTGGGAATAAAGTCGAGCTCTCATAATTAATGCTAAGCATAAAAATAAATAAATCAAGAAGTATTTTTTTGTATTGTATTCTAAAAATAAAAATACACTTATGACAGTAAACTTGGCATTTTTTATTAATGCCCAACTTATGATAATGAATGAACTGCATCCACAGCCTTCACACCCACGTAACACATTATACCCAAAATGGTGTCTTTATTCTCAAAGTAAAATCCTCCTCTCATGTTTCCCCCTCAGTCCCTGAACCTCCTGCTCCTCCATACATTCCAGCCTCTATGTGTTATCTTAAACAGTTTCCCCCGGTAGTGTGTGTGTGTGTGTGTGTGTGTGTGTGTGTGTGTGTGTGTGTGTGTGTGTGTGTGTGTGTGTGTGTGTGTGTGTGTGTGTGTGTGTGTGTGTGTGTGTGTGTGTGTGTGTGTGTGTGTGTGTGTGTGTGTGTGTGTGTGTGTGTGTGTGTGTGTGTGTGTGTGTGTGTGTGTGTGTGTGTGTGTGTGTCACAGCTCAGTGATAATTACCTTCTGGCCCGGCTCGATGTACATGTTGACGTGTTTGAGCACCGGCTTCAGCATCGGGTCGTAGCGCACACACAGATCCTGGATCTTTATCTCTCCGGTCTGAGGCCAGTTCTCCGGCACCTGAGAGGCGTCTGGGGGGGAGAAGGGGTTATTATTTTAAAGTAGAAGTACTCAGATCTTGTACTTGAGTAAAAGTAGAAGTACTCAGATCTTGTACTTGAGTAAAAGTAGAAGTACTCAGATCTTGTGCTTGAGTAAAAGTAGAAGTAGAAGTACCAGATCTTGTTCTTGAGTAAAAGTAGAAGTACCAGATCTCGTTCTTGAGTAAAATTAGAAGTACTCAGATCTTGTATTTGAGTAAAAGTAGAAGTACTCAGATCTTGTGCTTGAGTAAAAGTAGAAGTACCAGAGTGTAGGAATACTCTGTTACAGTAAAAGTCCTGCATTCAAAATGTTCCTCAAGTAAAAGTAGAAAAGTATTCTCATCAAAATATAGTTAAAGTACCAAAAGTAAAAGTAAAAGTACATAATGAGGGAATGTAAAGGCATTATTATGAAGGGAGTTGAATTGAAATGATATCAACAAGTTTAAACGTTGGTTAAATCAGTGTATTGTGGTTGGAAAAACGTATTTTCTCACCTAGAAGGAAAAATAAAGCAACATTTTCACAATTATTTTCGTTTAAAGTACATATTGAGGGACATTAGAGATGTGGTTTTAAAGGGATTTGTTTTGAAATGATATTCAGCTGTTTAAAAGTCATCAAAATTAGAGTATTGTGATTTAAATAACGTTTATTTCGTACCTAGACGTAACTGTCAATAACGGTTAGAGGTGGGAAGTATAAGTAGGAAAGTATTAGCATCAAATATAGTGAAAGTAGCGACAGTAAAAGTAGTCGTTGTGCAGATTGGTCCATTTCAGAATAATATATATGATATGTTTTATAATGATTGATCATGAAAGTGTTCTCAAAGCTGGTAAAGGTGCAGCTAGTTTGAAGTACTTTGTATACTGCAGGGTAGCTGGTGGATTTACTCCAGGTGGAACTAAAGTCTGATTCAACACTTGATTATATTTCACATCATTCATCATCTGTGAAGTAACTAAAGGTATTAAATACATGGAGTGGAGGAAAAGTACACCATTTACCTCTGAACTGAAGTGGAGTAGAAGTACACAGTAGCATAAAATGAAAATACTCAAGTACAAGTACCTCAAAATTGTACAGTACTTGAGTAAATGTACTTAGATACTTTACACCTCTGGTAATTATACTAACATCACTTTTTAAGGTGTTTTTAACTCAAATGTACCTTGTATTTTGACCTCAGTAGCGGTTTCATGTGTTTATGGGATGTGTTGTTGCTATGGTGAAATATAAATGATTTTGTTTCTTGGTATGATAGTTAAAAAAACAGAGAGACTTAATTTCTTTCAGAGTGGTGCCGATGAGATAAGTAATATCTAACTGAACCGACCCTTGCCACATCTCGTAGAAAAACAGAAACGTTTTGAGTGAATCTGCCAAAGGACTTTTAACAAAGACAGAGCGGCTATTTCTGGAAACTTAGACAAACAATTCTTGAGTTTGACGAATTGCTGGAAAAAAACAAAGACACTTAAAAGTTAAAGAAGGTTTTCCATCTCTGGATCTCAAACAGTATAAAGGTCATTTCTCTAATTGACTATTCCTCTGATGTCTTACAGTAAATTATCACAAACCCTGACTCACAGAGCAGAGAACCATTCCTCCTCTCTGACATCATTTAGGCAGAATTGATAAAGCTGAAACTCCAGAATTAGGAAAGAAATCAGATAAAGCCTGACGCAGAACTGTGAGAATCCTATCTTGTCAGAACAGTAAAATAGGACTGAGAGATAAGATCAGGAACATTAACATGCCTTAAAATAAGTTATCAGGCTTTTTTTTATCAACTAAGATTTGTTAGAAAATCTTCTCAACTTGAATTGACTGAATTTATTTGAAAGTGCACCTATCATGCTATTTGTAGCCAATAGCATAGGTATCAGATATATACAAATATATTAAAAACATGTCTAGTTCACTTCCTGTTTCTAAAGTCAGAGGCTCAGTCACTGGTACACTTTTATTTATAAAGCTATGTTGGGCAAACTCCCGTATTACATCTGCTCTCTGGTAAAGCAGAAAGTTGCAAGCAGCTATTGTCTGAGATCGCAGGATGTAGTCTTGTTAGATGTACCAAGGGTAAGGACTGTTTTAGGTAAGACAGTTTTTATGTGCGCAGCTCCACTTGCTTGGAACAGCCTACAGTCCAAATTGAAATTGAGCAATTTTATTTCTCTGAATGTTTTTAAGGCACGTCTGCACGAGATGCTTTCTGACACTATGGGTGTTTGTAAGTGTTGGTAAATATGATGTCCTCTATTGTTTGTTTTTATGTTGTTTTTATGTTTCATGTGGAACTACATTGATGCAGGTCTCCCTTGTAAAAGAGATCCGTGATCTCAAGGGACCTATCTGTCTAAATAAAGGTTTGAAATGAAAAGTGCTGATTTGGGTATAAAGCTTTAAAGAGGAGGGGTCTGAGCTCATGCGGGACCCGGCAGCTACTGTCTAAACTAAATGCTGCCGTGATGAAACGCCATATCATGGATTATCAAGGATTCTCTCTGAAACAGTTTGGAGCTCAAAGGCTTTCTCTCTTTCCGGTTATACCACAAGGTGAGTTCCTTTTTACTTCCTGCTTCTTCACACACATGCTCTCCAGTACAGGTTAGCTCTGAGTGTTAGCGATGCTAATGTAAACACCGACCATATTACGTCCAACACAGTCGGTCATTGTTTCTGATAGCAACGTTTCTGATTGGGCCGTGGGTCCACATTTCAGATATTACGTCATATCGGACGCAAATCTGGATCAGCTCCGTTGTTCCCCGTTTTTAGAGATTTGGGAACGGAGGAAAAGAGAGAGGCTTTTATTTTCTGACGCTGCGTGAGTTCCCCGACACACCGGGGACACATTGATGTAGAGAAGACATCAACAAGTGCATTTTGCATGATAGGTCCCCTTTAAGAAGTACAATAAAAATAAAAGCAAGAGTTTAATGTGTGAGCCATACTCCATTACACTTTTTAGAATTTGCAAAGGGCCAATTCAAAGTGGGCAAAGGGCCACAGTTAGCCCCTGGGGCCGTAGTTTGGACACCCCTGCCTTTAAAACATGTTGTTCATGGATACTCTGGACGCTTAATTATGGTATGTTTAAAAGTTCCTCCCCTGGCATTGATTAGACCCCTCAAACCTCATTTATTATCATCAAAATCACAAATGTAAAGACTGAACATGCTTTGAAATGGCTCGGAGTTAACTCTATACATTTGTCTCATTTAATAACTGTTTTTCTAGGAAAGTGGAAATTATTACTCACTCGCTCGCTACGATAAAGCGTTGGGCTTTAATATAAATGTAGTGATAAAAAAGCCCCTCCGTTTTGGAGTAATATTAGAAACCGACCGGACTACTTTCTGCAGATTGATATCACTGCACATAGTCCTCCTTAGCAACGGTATTTTCTCCTTAGTGACGGTCTGTTAGTTAGACTTAACAATCTCTGGAATGTCCACATTGACCAATCACAATCGAGTTTTCAACTTAGGCGTGTAATAATATAAAATACAGAATCAAACAGTGAATATATACATACAGTATCAACAGTAGAGGATAAATATCTCTGGGTATGGACAGAATAGGGAAGAATACACTGTAATAGACCGACTTATGACGAATACAAATGTATAAACACATAGGATACTATATAAACACACATTATATAAGTCAGTGGGGAGTCTCAGCAGCTCTTTAACAGTAACACTTCCCTTCTGTATATGATCCGTGTTATGATCTAACACATATTCTGTATGCTGCTGTTTACACCAGACTCACTGTAACATAGACACTGGAAAGCTGTTTTACTTTTACAGCAATTACCGGTGTCTTCTCTCAGAAATTACCAGTGGTGAAAGTAACTAAGTAGATGTACTCAAGTACTGCACTTAAGTACAATGTTGAGGTACTTGTACTTTACTTGAGTATGTCACTGTGTTTTGTCCACTACAGTTCAGAGGTACATGGTGTACTTTTACTCCATGTATTTAATCCCTTTAGTGACTTTACAGATTTAGATGAATGATGTGAAATATAATCAAGTGTTAGATCAGACTTTAGTTCCACCTGGAGGTAAATCTTTTGGGGAAATGGTTTTAAAGTCCAAATATGTAATAATTTGTGTTATTGTATTGATGTTTAGTCCGATAAGAAGAACTCAGTTACCCATGGACCCCTCGTAGTTCTCCGACTCGGTTCCCAGGAAGCTGTTGACCTTCTTCACGGCGGCCATTTGCACCTCGAGGTCCGCCAGGTTCCTCACCACCCAGTTCAGATAGTTAGTGACCTGAGGAAGACAAGAAGGACGCATTGTTTATTATACAGCCCACACACAGCAGCTCGACATTTACAGCCTTCAAACCAACCAGAAGTGCTCGATGATACCTGTGTTAACACCCCATTTAAATGCATCTTAAATTTAGACTAGACTTTAGACCAGGCTTACAAATGTTGGGGTTGTGTCCAAACTACAAATTGATTTATTAAGTGGCTGCAGGTTTCATGTGAGTATGTTTCTGGTACAATATTAGCACTAGTATAAGCTGAACTTATAAAGATCTTAAAACGGTTAAAACGGTAAAGTCGTCTTAGTGTTGTTTTATAACACTCTTTGAACTTGTCCGGTGCACACAACGTGATCGGTTGCTGCCTTGAAGATAATAAGATAAGATGTACTTTATTGATCCCAAATTGTGACATGTTTGCAGCATCAAAAACAAGGCATTGCAGATAAGTAGAAAAGAGTAGAAATAAACAATTCTAAACTGTAAACATCTCAAAATAGAAATAAAAAAGCATTACAAAAGTAGAAAATATGCAAGTTGACCGTGAAGATAAAGAAATTGATAAAAACCTGACAAATAGAACAATATTGAAGGGTTGATTTTAAGTTAGCACAATCATTTATTCGACGTGCGAAAGCACAAAAGAAATCTAGGAGAAATGACGCTGCTTTTTATGCTTTTGTTCCAAGTGTAATATTTGCGTTATTCTACGTGAAAGTAATCACAACAGTTCGCAAAAACATATTGATGTGCAAAACAATCACACGGTAAATATGACCCTGGTGTGATACGGTCTTTTGAGTTCATTCAAATCAGAATCCGGTTTATTTCCAGGTACGAGGAATTTGACTTGATGTCGTGGTGCAGACATAGTAGAACAAAAATGTAAAACACAGTTAGAGAACTATTTTAAGGAAACTATAATAACATTAAAAAGAACTGTTGGATCCTGCTATGAAAACAACGACGAGTATACATAAAAAGAGGACAAAACTGCACAGACTGAAGGAGGTCAGGTGCTTTGATAGATTGAATAAAGGAGAGGACTCACAGTGAGGGCGTAGGTGAGTCCGAGGCCAACGAGGGCCCCGTGGTCGTGGCTGTACCGAAAACTCCAGATCGAAGCTCCTGCAGCCGTCAGAACGATCACCGCTCCAAGGTAATCCTGAACAAGAGAAGGAATGAAACCTCAGAGAAATATAATAACTCTAAATCTAAATCTCCTAAACCAAGTGCAAGAGGGACGAAAACAAACAAAAACATCACAGCACGAGTTAGCGGCTTCTAGGGATGCATATCGTTGACTTTTTTACGATACCGATACCACTGAACGATACCGATACTCAACCGATACATATCGTGATACTTTGAAAATGTATCATCCCACAATTACTCCCATGAAGCGCTTTACGATACAGTTAACATGTCAAATTAATATTAAATTCAATTGTGGGACTTCTTGGCCCTTTTAGTTCTGAACAAACAATGACAGATACATAACAAATATGAAGAAAACCGATTATGGAATATCTTTTATAACACATCAGGTGTGCCGCGTGAATAGCACATCTTGTCAATGCAAACAGACCGTTATAGCACCGTTATAATTCATGTTAAACCTGAGATTCGACTAGAGAACAAATACATAATAGAATAATGGTCATGAGATCACAACAAATCTCATCTTTAAAATCAACATTTGCCTTCACTGGTGAGAGAAAACAAATCCCATCACAGTTCATTTGTGGGACTTTTACCTTTCTAGTATTGAACAAACAATGAAAAATACATAAAATATGTATTAAATAAAGTTTTTTTTTTTTTTTTTTAAAGTATCGAAACCGGATCTGATTTCGGTACGGTATACCGTAGCCAACAGTAACCGGTATTTCGGTAATACCGGATACCGGTATGCATCCCTAGCGTCTTCCTATTCGTCCAGCCAATATGAATAACAAACAGTAGTGACTTACTGTGTGAAAGTAAGGTAAGGAACATATGAATTCAAGTATCTCCTCACCGTGCGGACCTCCAGCCAGCGGTTGGCGGCGGACAGAAACAAGTAGGCGGTGTTGTTGGTGTCTGTCAGCTCCAACATACGCTGCTTAAAACGAGCCTCGTGCCTGAAATAAACAACAACATTTGCATCAGAAACTAAATATATAAGACTCCATCTTATAATCAGCAAAATGAAAAGTTGTTTCGGTTGCTTTTGACCGAGCTTTCTCTTGATTGCTAACTTACAGCATCCTTTGTTAATGTAGTCTTAAACTAAACTTGAACAAAAAGTTCAACGGTGCATTCAAGTGCACCTTGTAAGGGTCTTATTTAGATATTCTTCCTTATTCAGTGTGTTCGAAAGAGTAGTGGAGTACAAATACTTTGTTAATGTACTTAAGTACATGTTTCTGGTATCAGTACTTTACTCCACTACTTATTTTTCTGACGACTTTTACTTTGACTTCTTACATGTTGAACACAAATACCTGTACTTTCTACTTCTTACATGTTGAACCCAAATACCTGTACTTTCTACTTCTTACATGTTGAACACAAATACCTGTACTTTCTACTTCTTACATGTTGAACACAAATACCTGTACTTTCTACTTCTTACATGTTGAACTCAAATACCTGTACTTTCTACTTCTTACATGTTGAACACAAATACCTGTACTTTCTACTTCTTACATGTTGAACCCAAATACCTGTACTTTCTACTTCTTACATGTTGAACACAAATACCTGTACTTTCTACTTCTTACATGTTGAACTCAAATACCTGTACTTTCTACTTCTTACATGTTGAACCCAAATACCTGTACTTTCTACTTCTTACATGTTGAACACAAATACCTGTACTTTCTACTTCTCACATGTTGAACTCAAATACCTGTACTTTCTACTTCTTACATGTTGAACCCAAATACCTGTACTTTCTACTTCTTACATGTTGAACACAAATACCTGTACTTTCTACTTCTTACATGTTGAACTCAAATACCTGTACTTTCTACTTCTTACATGTTGAACCCAAATACCTGTACTTTCTACTTCTTACATGTTGAACACAAATACCTGTACTTTCTACTTCTCACATGTTGAACTCAAATACCTGTACTTTCTACTTCTTACATGTTGAACTCAAATACCTGTACTTTCTACTTCTTACATGTTGAACTCAAATACCTGTACTTTCTACTTCTTACATGTTGAACACAAATACCTGTACTTTCTACTTCTTACATGTTGAACTCAAATACCTGTACTTTCTACTTCTTACATGTTGAACACAAATACCTGTACTTTCTACTTCTTACATGTTGAACTCAAATACCTGTACTTTCTACTTCTTACATGTTGAACTCAAATACCTGTACTTTCTACTTCTTACATGTTGAACTCAAATACCTGTACTTTCTACTTCTTACATGTTGAACCCAAATACCTGTACTTTCTACTTCTTACATGTTGAACTCAAATACCTGTACTTTCTACTTCTTACATGTTGAACTCAAATACCTGTACTTTCTACTTCTTACATGTTGAACACAAATACCTGTACTTTCTACTTCTTACATGTTGAACTCAAATACCTGTACTTTCTACTTCTTACATGTTGAACACAAATACCTGTACTTTCTACTTCTCACATGTTGAACTCAAATAACTGTACTTTCTACTTCTTACATGTTGAACTCAAATACCTGTACTTTCTACTTCTTACATGTTGAACACAAATACCTGTACTTTCTACTTCTTACATGTTGAACACAAATACCTGTACTTTCTACTTCTCACATGTTGAACACAAATACCTGTACTTTCTACTTCTTACATGTTGAACTCAAATACCTGTACTTTCTACTTCTTACATGTTGAACCCAAATACCTGTACTTTCTACTTTTTACATGTTGAACCCAAATACCTGTACTTTCTACTTCTTACATGTTGAACACAAATACCTGTACTTTCTACTTCTTACATGTTGAACTCAAATACCTGTACTTTCTACTTCTCACATGTTGAACCCAAATACCTGTACTTTCTACTTCTTACATGTTGAACCCAAATACCTGTACTTTCTACTTCTTATATGTTGAACTCAAATACCTGTACTTTCTACTTCTTACATGTTGAACACAAATACCTGTACTTTCTACTTCTCACATGTTGAACTCAAATACCTGTACTTTCTACTTCTTACATGTTGAACTCAAATACCTGTACTTTCTACTTCTTACATGTTGAACTCAAATACTTGTACTTTCTACTTCTCTCATTTTCCAAACAGCTGGTTCCTTTAGTCTGAATGTGTGTTTGATGCGTGATCATTATTCTTTAGAGTCATTGCGTGTCTATTGATTTGAACACGATCCGTGTATCCATCATTTCCTGGTCTTCTCTAAAGAAGAGGGACCAATGGAAACGTTGTCATGTTGCCGTTGTTTAGCATGGAAACATTCATTAGCTAACAATGACATTATTGTTCTATTAATATAAAGGGAGGTCAGGTACTCTTTAAAACAGATGGTAGTTATGGGTACTTTTTACTGAAGTACATTTCAAAGCCTCTTTACTTTGACTTGAGTAAAGAAGTTTAGTCAGTACTTCTACTTTACCGGAGTATTTTTAAACACAAGTACTTCTACTTGAGTAAAGGATGTGTGTACTTTTGTCCTCTCTGGTGTTCAAGAGCTAAACATTTATATGCGAATATGGACACTGGAAAGAGGATCACAAATGTCACTTTGGTCCACTACATGTCTGCGTAATATATATATATATATATCATCAACTAGTAAATACACATTTTTGTTGATTTTCCAAGTGTTTTTTTCAGGGGGGCTCACAAGACTTTTGGGAAGTTGTTTCTCCAGTTATTCCTACACCACATGAATGCAGCCAGATGCCCAACCGTCCAGCAAATAGTGCGTAACGGCTTTAATAGTTTCTACATCCTTTCACCAAACTTTATGAAAACCGTGCCAGTACTCTTTCCGTGATCGTGCCAACAAACAAACCACAGCTAAAAACATGACCTTCTTTTCGTGTTGGGAATAGAAGTAGCATCGTATCTTCAGGTTTTATTATTGCTTGCCATCCTGCGGTCATAAATCACCGCGAAACCAGACTGGCTTTGGAGGCGAACCAGAGGATAATGATGATAGTTCCCATGAGCGCCAAGGAACTGTCCCAACACCAGAATCATTGTTTCTCTGTGTGTGTGTGTGTGTGTGTGTGTGTGTGTGTGTGTGTGTGTGTGTGTGTGTGTGTGTGTGTGTGTGTGTGTGTGTATGTGTTTGTGTGTGTGTGTGTGTGTGTGGGGTAGTCTTAAGGGAGTAGAGGAGGAGAAAGCAGCGTGAGAGCAGTTTAATGTTGGATTACACCGACGATGGGAAAGAGGGTGAAGACAGAAATACAAAGTGATACAGCTGCTGAAATAAAATAAAACTAAATATACTGATATTACAGCTACTGGGAGAAGTACTGCTCATGTTTTTTTAAATCTATACTCATGCTTTTATCACTTAGACATGTGCTTATTATGTATTATTCATTTTTATTATGGGCTGCATTCCTCCAAAGTGCTTTAAAGAGCCATGTAGCGTAAGTAGGTGTGTCTGAACCATCAACATCAATTCAGTTCAAGGACACTTTGAAGTGTGGAGATAAGGAGCGTGGGGTTGAACCAACAACAATTATTACTGGGTTTAGTCTGTAAGGATCTTTATCTATCCGTCACATTGTCGGGACTTTAGCTGGACATTTGTGTAATGTACATAGTGTCCTATATTTATATTTTAGTTGGAGTAGTTTGGGATATAATAGTGTATTCTAATGTATTCTATATACTCAATAGATCTATATCTTTCTATGGTAGATATGTATATATTTTACTCAATGCCGGGTTACCTGCTGCTGCTGTAAACCAAAAAATCCCTAATTTTGGATAAAAAAAGTACATCTATCTGCATATATTGACAGAAAAGTTTAGGCACCTGGTATGTTGGAACAAAATAGACGCAAACAAAAAGGATTAAAAATACTTTGTTTTGCATTTACGCACAAAAAAAAGTGTCTACAGCTGAAGTGCATCCAGGATGTTATTAATGAAGGGTGTGGAGCTAAAGGAGGCTAATGTTGGGCTATAAAGGAACTACAGCACGGTCACATGACTTCACGTCACCACCGCTAAGCTAAAGGAGGCTAATGTTGGGCTATAAAGGAACTACAGCACGGTCACATGACTTCAGGTCACCACCGCTAAGCTAAAGGTGGCTAATGTTGGGCTATAAAGGAACTACAGCACGGTGACATGACTTCAGGTCACCACCGCTAAGCTAAAGGTGGCTAATGTTGGGCTATAAACGAACTACAGCACGGTCACATGACTTCACGTCACCACCGCTAAGCTAAAGGTGGCTAATGTTGGGCTATAAAGGAACTACAGCACGGTCACATGACTTCAGGTCACCACCGCTAAGCTAAAGGTGGCTAATGTTGGGCAATAAAGGAACTACAGCACGGTCACATGACTTCACGTCACCACCGCTAAGCTAAAGGAGGCTAATGTTGGGCTATAAACGAACTACAGCACGGTCACATGACTTCACGTCACCACCGCTAAGCTAAAGGTGGCTAATGTTGGGCAATAAAGGAACTACAGCACGGTCACATGACTTCACGTCACCACCGCTAAGCTAAAGGAGGCTAATGTTGGGCTATAAACGAACTACAGCACGGTCACATGACTTCACGTCACCACCGCTAAGCTAAAGGAGGCTAATGTTGGGCTATAAAGGAACTACAGCACGGTTACATGACTTCAGGTCACCACCGCAAAGCTAAAGGAGGCTAATAATGGGCTATAAAGGAACTACAGCACGGTCACATGACTTCAGGTCACCACCGCTAAGCTAAAGGTGGCTAATGTTGGGCTATAAAGGAACTACAGTACGGTCACATGACTTCAGGTCACCACCGCTTAGCTAAAGGTGGCTAATGTTGGGCTATAAAGGAACTACAGCACGGTCACATGACTTCACGTCACTACCGCTAAGCTAAAGGAGGCTAATGTTGGGCTATAAAGGAACTACAGCACGGTCACATGACTTCAGGTCACCAAAGCAAAGCTAAAGGAGGCTAATAATGGGCTATAAAGGAACTACAGCACGGTCACATGACTTCAGGTCACCACCGCTAAGCTAAAGGCAGCTAATGTTGGGCTATAAAGGAACTACAGTACGGTCACATGACTTCAGGTCACCACCGCTTAGCTAAAGGTGGCTAATGTTGGGCTATAAAGGAACTACAGCACGGTCACATGACTTCACGTCACTACCGCTAAGCTAAAGGAGGCTAATGTTGGGCTATAAAGGAACTACAGCACGGTCACATGACTTCAGGTCACCACCGCTAAGCTAAAGGCGGCTAATGTTGGGCTATAAAGGAACTACAGCACGGTCACATGACTTCAGGTCACCAACGCTAAGCTAAAGGAGGCTAATAATGGGCTATAAAGGAACTAAAGCACGGTCACATGACTTCAGGTCACCACCGCTAAGCTAAAGGCGGCTAATGTTGGGCTATAAAGGAACTACAGCACGGTCACATGACTTCAGGTCACCACCGCTAAGCTAAAGGAGGCTAATGTTGGGCTAAAAAGGAACTACAGCACGGTCACATGACTTCAGGTCACCAACGCTAAGCTAAAGGAGGCTAATAATGGGCTATAAAGGAACTACAGCACGGTCACATGACTTCAGGTCACCACCGCTAAGCTAAAGGAGGCTAATGTTGGGCGTAATGACGTTTAGTCAACACCGTTTTAAAATTAACCAGTGGTGTATTTACTGGCGTATTTTATGTCATGGAAAAATATTCATTTAGCTTGTGTTAACCACAGACCTTATTTCAGGCGTCTGACCAAAAACCCTTTCAGCCACAGGAAGTGGTCAAATTACGACTTATTTCCAGGCTTTAGGACTCTTTCCTGCACTACCCTATATAACAACAGACACACAAACAAGTCAACATAGCGCTAGACATTTGGACTATCATTGCTTACATGTCGTCCTTGTGTAGGTTTAGCATTCTCTTCAGCAGAAAAAACACAGACGGAAAACAGTTGAACAAATGTAATCCCATATTGAAAAACCGTTAGGTTGTATAACTAATGCTTATATCAACTTTAATGTTTACTTTTATACTGACGTCATTCAAAAACGATATACTGAAGCTTTGTTTAAGTGTATGTGTGTGTGTGTGTGTGTGTGTGTGTGTGTGCGCGTGTGTGTGTGTGTGTGTGTGTGTGTGTGTGTGTGTGTACCTGAATGCTCTAATGGTAGTCAGACCCTCAGCGGTCTCAGAGAAGTGGCAGAGCAGAGGCAGCTGAGTGGAGTCATCGAGGTCCTGGAGGTCTCTGAGAGAGAGAGATAAACAATATGTTTATCAGGTTATATTGACATGATTTTAGTAATAAATGACAATGTTATTTATGTATGAATGCACATGCAATGATAACTCTCTGACGTCCTTTACACACACTAACATACACAGAACAGTGCCACAATCATGCATTGCCACACACATGTCTTATTGATTCATTTGCAAGAAGATAATAATAATAATATATTTCGTTTATATAGCACACTTTAAAAACAAAGTTATCTCAAGGTGCATTTCACTGCTTGTCACTGAAGTCTAAAAGTGGTTCGAGTATATAAACGAAATGCACTTTTAATCCACACTCACTTGGAGGCCACCCTGAAGTACTTCTGGATGAAGTAGAAGGCGACGGCCAGAGGAACGAGAGCGATGAGGAAGGCTGGAGTGATGGAGGAAATCACGCCGATGGCCGACAGTAAGAGCAGCGTGGATCTCGTTAAAGACTCCAGGGTGGGAGGAATGTGCTGAGAGGAGTGAAACACGTGGACAAAGTGAGAGGCAATTCAGGAAGTCTGGAAGAAGTCGAAGTATCTCAAACCGTACCTGATCTATGATGTTGGTGTCGGCGGAGAATCTGTTGATGATCAGCCCCAGAGGAGTGATGTCAAAGAACCTGAAGGGAAAGGTTTTGAAATCATCCGTCAGTATAAGCGCCATTGAAGGTAACCATTTTTAATTATGGAGCTGGAAATGCGAGGAACATTTGAAGAAAAGCAACAAATTAAAACTCTATAAAAGCTGTCGACAAAGACAATAAACTTGTGTGATTTTATTCTCTGAGAAATACAAGATTTCTTTCCATAAATTCAAGAGTTTTTCACTTTCATTTGAATATCCGTGTTTCTTTTTGTAAATATGGGATTTCAATCTATGTATTTTGTTTAGTTGGATTGTTTTTACATACACATTTTAAGGTTTTAACGGCCATTTAAAAAAAGATAAATACCTTTATACATGGAGAGACAGATATATAGTTATAGTGATAATAAATATAAGGTATAATAACAATTAAAAATATACAAAAAGAAGCTAAATCAAATAAAGAAAATATATATTTTTTAGGTTTTTAATAAAATGTTCTGACCAAGTTTTATCTAGTTCTGCTGAGCGTCTGGACTTGTAGATTGTGTACTTATGTGATTGTGTGTGTGTGTAAATGCCCACCTTTATACTTGGAGACATAGAGACATAGTTATAGTGATAATAAATATTAGGTAAAATTAAAAAGATTAAAAAAACAGGCAAAAACAAATAAAGAAAAATTCACTTTTTTAAAGGTCCCATGTCATGGCCATTTCCACTGATCATAACTCCATTGTCGAGGTCTACTAGAATAGATTTATACTGTGCAATGTTCCAAACTCACATTGGTTTCGCAAACAGCATCTCTGTAAAGTATGTGTATTCACTCTCTCCACTAAACGGCTCGTTGCAGCTCTTGCCCCCCCCCTCCCTGTGAGCCCAGTGTGCTCCGATTGGTCGGGACCAGTCGGGACGTTGTGAATCGCGCTGAGCTCCGTGGAGGTGTGATTTCCTTGTTTAGCGATACACAGCGAAACACAGCCAAACTCACCCTGAGCACACACAAAGTCACAGCCGAAGTAAAAACAATAAGTGTGGCTTGATATTGAGTCAGAAAAAGGTTGATAAACGCTGTGAGAATGGGTCTGCAGAGAGAATGGGTCTGCAGAGAGAATGGGTCTGCAGAGAGAATGGGTCTGCAGAGAGAATGGGTCTGCAGAGAGAATGGGTCTGCAGAGAGAATGGGTCTGCAGAGAGAATGGGTCTGCAGAGAGAACGGGTCTACAGAGAGAATGGGTCTGCAGAGAGAACGGGTCTGCAGTGAGAATGGGTCTGCAGAGAGAATGGGTCTGTAGAGAGAATGGGTCTGCAGAGAGAATGGGTCTGCAGAGAGAATGGGTCTGCAGAGAGAATGGGTCTGTAGAGAGAATGGGTCTGCAGAGAGAATGGGTCTGCAGAGAGAATGGGTCTGCAGAGAGAACGGGTCTGCAGTGAGAATGGGTCTGCAGAGAGAATGGGTCTGCAGAGAGAACGGGTCTGTAGAGAGAACGGGGTCTGCAGAGAGAATGGGTCTGTAGAGAGAACGGGTCTGCAGAGAGAATGGGTCTGCAGAGAGAATGGGTCTGCAGAGAGAATGGGTCTGCAGAGAGAATGGGTCTGCAGAGAGAACGGGTCTGCAGAGAGAATGGGTCTGTAGAGAGAATGGGTCTGTAGAGAGAATGGGTCTGCAGAGAGAATGGGTCTGCAGAGAGAATGGGTCTGTAGAGAGAATGGGTCTGTAGAGAGAATGGGTCTGCAGAGAGAATGGGTCTGTAGAGAGAATGGGTCTGCAGAGAGAATGGGTCTGCAGAGAGAATGGGTCTGCAGAGAGAACGGGTCTGTAGAGAGAATGGGTCTGCAGAGAGAATGGGTCTGCAGAGAGAATGGGTCTGCAGAGAGAATGGGTCTGCAGAGAGAACGGGTCTACAGAGAGAATGGGTCTGCAGAGAGAACGGGTCTGCAGTGAGAATGGGTCTGCAGAGAGAATGGGTCTGTAGAGAGAATGGGTCTGCAGAGAGAATGGGTCTGCAGAGAGAATGGGTCTGCAGAGAGAATGGGTCTGTAGAGAGAATGGGTCTGCAGAGAGAATGGGTCTGCAGAGAGAACGGGTCTGCAGTGAGAATGGGTCTGCAGAGAGAATGGGTCTGCAGAGAGAACGGGTCTGTAGAGAGAACGGGTCTGCAGAGAGAATGGGTCTGTAGAGAGAACGGGTCTGCAGAGAGAATGGGTCTGCAGAGAGAATGGGTCTGCAGAGAGAATGGGTCTGCAGAGAGAATGGGGGGAACGGGTCTGCAGAGAGAATGGGTCTGTAGAGAGAATGGGTCTGTAGAGAGAATGGGTCTGCAGAGAGAATGGGTCTGCAGAGAGAATGGGTCTGTAGAGAGAATGGGTCTGTAGAGAGAATGGGTCTGCAGAGAGAATGGGTCTGCAGAGAGAACGGGTCTGTAGAGAGAATGGGTCTGCAGAGAGAATGGGTCTGCAGAGAGAACGGGTCTGCAGAGAGAATGGGTCTGCAGAGAGAACGGGTCTGCAGAGAGAATGGGTCTGCAGAGAGAATGGGTCTGCAGAGAGAACGGGTCTGCAGAGAGAATGGGTCTGCAGAGAGAATGGGTCTGTAGAGAGAATGGGTCTGTAGAGAGAATGGGTCTGCAGAGAGAATGGGTCTGCAGAGAGAATGGGTCTGTAGAGAGAATGGGTCTGCAGAGAGAATGGGTCTGCAGAGAGAACGGGTCTGCAGAGAGAATGGGTCTGCAGAGAGAACGGGTCTGCAGAGAGAATGGGTCTGCAGAGAGAATGGGTCTGCAGAGAGAATGGGTCTGCAGAGAGAATGGGTCTGTAGAGAGAATGGGTCTGCAGAGAGAATGGGTCTGCAGAGAGAATTTCGCCACGATCCCAACTGTCTGTTATCAGCCTGCAGCCCGGGAGGAGAGATCAGCAGAGCTGCCTGCACTGAGTGTGTGAGGAAGTCCGTGGATTGGTCAATTTGGACCAATCAGCGGGGGCTTAACGTAACGGCTCCGCGGACGTAACGTAACGGCTCCACGGATTGGTCCATTTCGTTCCGGGGACGACATGACATCATGATGTACCAGGAAGAATCAAATGGACAGTGACGTTTCTCCAACGAGGCGTTTTGGGGAGGTATTTTCTGTGTTAGAGTTTTACTCGCTACAGGGTGTACTTTGAGGGTTTTGACTCTGCAGACCGTTTACATGCATAAAAACCTTCATAACACAAGGGGACGGGTAATAAGCGGAAAAGCATGACATGGGACCTTTTAAGTTTTTAATAAAATATTTTTGTCCAAGTTGTATCTAGTTTTGCTAAGCGTCTGGACTTGTAGATGTGTGTGTGTGTGTGTGTGTGTGTGTGTGTGTGTGTGTGTGTGTGTGTGTGTGTGTGTGTGTCACCTGATGGGAGCGTGGATGATCTTGTTCAGCAGGTTGTGGTGCAGGTTGGTGGCCGCAGAGACACCGAGGAACTCCACGGTGAGAGACGTGATGAGACACAGAGTGATGCCCGCCGCACACAGGATGACGAACACAGGCAGGTAGTACGGGTCGATCTAACACACACACACACACACACACACAGAGAGAGAGAGAGAGAGAGAGAGAGAGAGAGACACACAGACACACACACACAGAGAGAGAGAGAGAGAGAGAGAGACACACAGACATTATACAATCTGAGGTCATACATTAAGAGAAGAGCAGGGACATGTTCTCATGACCTGTACACCATCGGAGGTAAAAAACCAAGAGAAACGTAGGAACGCAATGGGAGAAAACACACACACACACACACACACACACACACACACACACACACACACACACACACACACACACACACACTTTTAAAAAGGTCTCTAATTCACATTTTCACAAACAAAAACGAATTATTTGCTCAAAATGTGTTGAATTTGATCGCTTTGAAAGATGTTCCTCTATCTTATATTAAAACATCCTAGACTCATATTTAAACTGTACTCTGCAACCTAATAGGAGAATAGGTGATACAGCATGATATTTACCACATGTCTGATGTATAATATGCAGGTTATGATAGAGTTTTACTGCTCGAAGACAAGCACAGCTCATAGTATACTTGTGTAGGTAAATAGAGCATATATTGAATATTGCCTTTTCAAAAGAGATATTGTGAATGTGTGATTTATTGTGATATTTTAATTTGCTTTCTCTAAAACTCTTATAATAGATAGTTTTAGTTAGGGCACCCTATTGTGGAAAATGTTTCTTGCATGCATGTACACTTGGCTACTCTCGTTTATCCTCTTATCTGCAATTAAACCCCATAAGCATATGACCTAAATTGGCGATTTGAACCCACAAATATTGACTCTAAACTTTAAAAAGTACCCCAGAGTGTGGGTCTGCAGGTCTGGTGCTGTTTGTGAAGTTGTTGTTGCTGCTGAAAGCGTCCGTGGTGTTGGTCTCATTCCCGGCGTTTGTTCCCGATACGGACGTGGCGTTGGTTTTAGAAGAAGTCCAGATGGCCAGCCAGTAATCGATGGCCACGATGACGGAGTGTTTGAGAAGTTTAGAGGAAACCATGAGGAAGACCATGAAGAAACCTCCGGAGGAAAGGTAGCACCAGCACACCTGAGGGCAGGAAGATCAATGGGAGGATTCTAAACAATGGATATATCTAAGAGGCAGAAATGCTGCAGATTAACCATGCAGATTATTGCCCTACTTGTTTGTTCACAGCATGTAAAGCAGCCTTGGGTCCCTTGAAAGGCGTGTTGGCAAGTTGTACCAATATTATTACTTTCATCTTAGTGACAATTTATCGACCAAACGATCAACTTTTTAATTGATAAAGCAATCAATGGACTGATTAATAATGAGGATAATTGTCGTTATCGCCCAACTCTCTGTAATAAGATAAGGATAAGTTAAGATGTACTTTATTGATTGGGACATGTTTGCGTAGCAGCAGCATAAAGATGAAAAATCTCAAAACAGATATTTTTTTCGGGACAAAGTATTCTCTTTTAATAATAAAATAATACTATCTTATCTTCTTGCTTTTCTATCGTAACACCAGCATGACTTGTGTGATATTATCCTATATGTTGTCGTTAAGGTTTTAACGGTACTACTACTTTTATCGATACCGCTTATCGGTCCGGTCTTTTAACGGTTCTCTTATCGGTTCTTTTGGAGAAAGAAACAAGGTAAACTAACATTGCTTTTTATTTAAATTAAATGCATAATATTTCACATCAAAAGAAACAAATCGTATTAAATAATCTGAGGACAGAATAGCTGAAACTTTAACTAACTAAATAACTCAGTTTCCTCTAATCATTAACCCGTGTTTGTATAATGTAGTTAACTCTGTGTGTTGCTGCTAGCATACATAACACCTGACGTGGAAACGTTACTCGTGGACGGGGCTACAGAGCTGCTAGAAAGACAGTCGAACCCGGTGCATTCCTCCGTCTGGATGTGGAGCACTTTTGATAAATGTTTAGACAAACTGCTCGTGTTACCGCCCTCACATGATAAACTCTTATTGCACTTTAGGTAACGAGCATCGAGACGGGTAAAGTTTAACCACCTCGGAGCGCGTTCTCTCCGCCATCTCCTCCGTGTGTGTGTGTGTTGCTGCATGTAGCAGAGTGTGTGTTGCTGCATGTAGCAGAGTGTGTGTGTGTGTGTGTGTGTGTGTGTGTGTGTGTGTTGCTGCATGTAGCAGCTGCGTGTGTGTAAACTGCCCCGCCCCCTCGCACACAGACGGAGGGAGAGATCTCTCGTCTGGATTGGAAAGATCGAAAATACTAAAAATAGTCATAGACGCATTTTGCAGTCTTTTTGCGTATTAGAAACGGAGTTGGCGAAACTAAAACTGCAATATAATGTTTGTGTAGCAATAATACATACGACATATATTTTAGATGTCTCCAGTACCGATAAAAAGACCGATAACGTCGGAGCTTAACGGTACCACGGTCTTTAATAATTCAGCCCCGGGGCCCTTTAATACCGGGGCTCGGTACCCATCCCTAGTTGTCGAACATGTGACCAAGACAAGTGTGCAAATGAGAAAGTATGCATAAATAAAGACCACATTTGATTGGTAATGTTAGGTCACTAAAGCCTAATAAAAAAGGGTATAATATCTTAGTCTTACTACTTAGTAAACCAGCTGGATCAGGTAGTGTTAGTCGTTTCCTTTGTGATATTAAATGATGATGATAGGTGTTATGTGTTGTCTAAATATCATTTTTGGAGACAGGTTTTGCAGCAGTACGGATGAATTACCCTCCATGGGACCTTTGATCTTCTGTTGGTGGTTGTAGACATGTTGTCATCATCTTCCTCCTCCTCTTCCTCCTCTGAAAGCACGAGAAAGTGGAATACCATATGACATATGAGTCAATTAAAAAAACAACACTTAATATCACTATTATCTAATTAAACACTTAATCTTTGTCTTTTTTACAAGTTTAAACTCTTAAGTAACATTTAATTTTGTGTCTTTTGTATAAGAAGAGTAGAAATGTACATAATTAAAAAGTGGTTACCTTCGTCTTCATCGTCCATTTGGTTCTTGGTCTCTCTGGGGTAGAAAGCCCTTCTCAGAGTTTTCCTCTCCAGCGTTGTTTGACTGTCTTGCTGGATGTCCTACATATGAAGACACAACATACAATATATAACATTAAAAAGATAATAAAGCTTTAACTGCTAGACTGTCTGCATCATTGAAAAGACTTAATGCTGCTGCTTTCATTCTGATAATGCCTCTAGTTTGAATGCACGGTTTGGAGGAGATGAGGTTTGTTAAAGTTAAGGTAAAAACGTAGGCTCCTCCAACAGAGCAACATGAATATAGGACATAAACAAATACAACAGATAAAATAGTGCAAGAGGATGTTTCGAGATGTGCAATTAAATACAAATAAAATAGAAATAGTGCAAGAAGAGTCTATATACATGAGAGTAACACCTACGTCACTTAGTTACGGCCCCGCCCACTTTTGGGGGAAAACAACGCTGTCATTTGAATGGCGGTCAATACACATTCTGAAGTTTTTGCCAATCCGATCAGAAATGTAAGAAAAACGTGGATTTGTGGATCTTCAAAGAACCCGGTTACGATGGCCAATCAGCAGGGGCGGTTCTAGGGGGGCCAGTGCCCCCCTAACACTGACCCTCTGACCCCCCTAACAATGAAATCTTATTTATTTATTTTTTTTAATGTATATTTTCTGGTACTCGGTTTGCCAAAAACCGCAGGATTTTGTTGCTGTAATGTGAGATTGTGCAGACACCCTTATGTAAAGTAGAGATGTAACTGTTCATTGCCTTTATTTTCATATAAATATGGTGTTAGTATAAACATTGCACTATAACTTAAGCTGAAGCTAACAGTAATAACTATAAGATCTATCTGAAATAAATAAGTGTACTGAAACAAATACCAATAACTGTATTGCATTGTTTTCTTATGCGCAATTACTTCATACTGTCTAGTTCTCTTTTTCGTCCTGCATTTATTGTACTCCCCTCAGAAAATAACTGGCCCCCCAGTGGCCCCCCCAGTCAAATTGGTCTAGAACCGCCACTGCCAGTCAGGCAAAGAGTTACATTCAATCATTGGAAATCGACAAGCGGGCTCGATATATGGTTAAATTCAAATCAGTAGGCGAGACCGTCATTTCGCCAGCTGTTGAAAATAATAGTTGTATCATGCCAACAAGCTGCTGTGTCGTTTATTGCACCTCAAACATTAAAACAAATCTAGAGTTCAGTGTTTCTGTACTTCCTCTAAGAAGAAAGGACAGTAACAGAAGAGCTCTGTGGCTTCAGGCTCGATCGCCGTTCAAATGACAGCGTTGTTTCCCACAAAGGTGGGCGGGGCCGTAAAGTGACGTAAATGTTACTCTTATCTATTGACATCGATCGCCTACTGCTATATTTAACCATATATCGAGCCCGCTTGTCGATTTCCAATGATTTAATGTAATTGTTTGCCTGACTGGCCATCGTAATCGGGCTCTTTGAAGATCCACAAATCCACGGTTTTCTTAAATTTCTGATCGGATTGGCAAAAACTTCAGAATTTCAATTGATCGCCATTCAAATGACAGCTTTTATTTCCCCCAAAAGTGGGCGGAGCCGTCATATTTTTTTAATTTTTTTTCCACAAGTATTTTTATTGGGCCATCAATCTTAAAACATGCAAACTGTTGACATAAGATCACCCGATTTTACTTTTTTTTTTTTACAACAAACATGGCACCCCCCTACAAAACAAAACTGAAAAGCGTCACAATACAATATAAAAGAGGAGCAAAAATAAGTAAATTAAAAAAAATACAAGAGGATATCATAAAAGCACAGAAATACAAAGAAACACTGTGTTGCACAATGCACATTGGGCTGCATGACCATTCACACGCCAAAGGAGACAATCACTTATCATTGCATTATAACCGTCCAGTCTCAATAGTAGCTACGGTGTACATTAATGAGTAATAGAATTATCTAATCCCCTAAAGAAGGAATAGAATTAACAAAAGTGAGAATAGGATCCCAGGTTTTGCTAAATTTATCAGAGCATCCGGAGCCGTCATTTTTTACCGGAAGCGACGCATGTGTTACGGCCCCTACACATGGCGGCGTGCGTTGCCGCTTCAACGCTTCTGCCCATTCACTTTTAATGGGGTGACGTCACGATACGCCGAACTGCATTGTGGGAGCAAAGCGTAGCTTCTCTCGCGGTGCTCGCTGCAAAAGTAGAGCAATGTTCTACTTTTGACGCCTCGATGGAGGTGTCAGCCAATGAAATCATATGCCAGTACAAGCTCTAGCCAATCAAACCGCGTGCTTGTGTGTCTGGGGCGGGAGATTCATGTGATTGGTTGTTGGTCGAGTTTCAGCCCCCCCCGCCGGCAAGCGACAACGCACGCCGCCGTGTGTAGGGGCCGTTACTCTCATGTATACAAGTACATGGAATGATATAAACAACAAACAGAAGGTTTTGATCTGTGGAATAACTGTAATGATGAGCTGAAATACTGTGCAACTTTATCTAAACTAAAACTATTATTTAGAAGCCAAATCATTAAAGCTGGAACTGCTACCTCCGCGACCCGACCACGGATAAGCGGGAGAAGAAGGATGGATCATTAAAAGTTACGAGCCGGACCTGTGAACTCATGCTTGCTATTTCTTGTCGTTGTAAAAGTTATTTCTTTTTGGTTGTTTTGTACAAAGAAATTATTTGTTTAAAACAATGAATGAAATATCACAGATGCTGATGACGATGACCTAATCTTTTATTTTCATGAACAATATATGCTAGAGGAGGACCAGAAACGTTTGTAAGCTTCTTCTTGCCCCTTTTGAACATGAAGGAAGCTATTTGAGAATTATTTTTTTTACTCCTTGAAAGTTTTTTTCGTTATAATTATTTGTATTATTATAACTATTGTTTGTTTTGTTTCTAACATGTTCAATGAATTATATAAAATAATATATATGTACTAGATAAATAATTAGCAAGATGCAACCATGGATGTATAATAAGAACTGGATACAGCGTGGGAGGCGGGGTCTCATTCTTTCCTATGAGAGCTGCTCATTGGCTCATGAGGACCAAATGGCCAAACTTTTGAGAGAGCGAAACGTCAGATTACCCAGCATGCCTAGCTGTCAGAGTAGAAGAACCCGTATGTGCGCTCACAGAGCATGCGCCCCTTAAGCCCCGCCCCCCGAGCTCCCACTCTCAGCTCAGTAGAATGAATGGAGACAAAAATGAAATCTAGATTCGGCTTTTAGTGCATTTTACAACTTTAAGGACCGAATGATTCTAATAAGGGCTATAAAATAGTTCATACTGGGTAGTTTATTTAGTGATTTACAGACGTCTCTTTCCCCATGTTAGTCAATGGGGAAAAGTCTTTCTGGGCCCAGTGACGTCACGGACTGATATGGAAGTTGTAGTACCGCCGTTTGGACACAAAGAATATTTCCATCGGAGTCCGGCGCACTTCCTGGGGGCTTGGATGCAACAGATGAATGTTTATGGATGTTCTTTAAAAAGTTATGGCCTGTGGGATGAATGAATAAAGTGTATTATTTGTGTCAGGTGACCTTCTCCAGGCCGTGGTCCTGGCGGTTCATCAGCGTCTTCCAGTGTTCGTAGAGCTCGATGTCGTGCGTCTGGATGTCCTTCAGAGTTCCTTCTCTCAGCACCGAGCCGTCCTTCATCGCTATGATCTGGAGAAAAGACACATTAGATATTTATGGCTTTCATTTAATAGATATTACTCACTGAAAGGTGCATACAAAAAAAAACGTGGGTTTGGACCGCTGATTAGGTTCAGGTTCAGGTTCTTTATTTGTACCCGTAGGTAGATTTAGTTTGCAGAGAAAAAGACAAGGGATCCATCCTGACACACTCTAAAAACAAACACAAACAACAGAAACATCTCTAATAAAAGGACTAGTAAAAAGTACAAGTACACTCTTAATTGCACATCATTTGCACACAAAATGTATTGCGCGTATGATATGTAAGTTTCCACGTACAAAATAATTTGTGTTGAGAAATAGGGTGCAAAGAAGATACAATAACCAGCATAATTGTTCTATATTTGCAAGAAAAACATGCAGAAGATAATATTCGTACCCAGTCGGCGTGTATGAGGTACTGCAGTTTGTGGGTGACCAGGACCACGGTGCGTTTATCGTCCTGCAGGAACTTCAGGATGCCCTCCTGCATCAAGTGATCGCTGAGGTGGATATCCAGAGCTGAGAAGGGATCGTCCTGCGAGACAAAATAAGTACACACAACCTTTACTCAAGTAGAAGTACAGATACTCGTGTTTAAAAATACTCTGGTGAAAGTAGAAGTACTGACTAAACTTCTTTACTCAAGTTAAAGTAAAGAACTTTGAAATGTACTTCAGTAAAAAGTACCCATAACTAGCAGCTGTTTTAAAGAGTACCTGACCTCCCTTTATATTAATAGAACAATAATGTCATTGTTAGCTAATGAATGTTTCCATGCTGAACAACGGCAACATGACAACGTTTCCATTGGTCCCTCTTCTTTAGAGAAGACCAGGAAATGATGGTTACACGGATCGTGTACAAAGGCACGCAATGATTCTAGAAAGTACAGGTATTTGTGTTCGAAATGTAAGATGTAAGATTGCCCTCCGAAAAATAAGTAGTGGAGTAAATAATATGGCTTTCATTTAAATAAATAAATAACAGTTTATTAACCCTCCTGTTGTCTTCGGGTCAAATCTGACCGATTTACTACTTTCATCAATCGTAACTTTTTTGTTTTACATTAGATTGCATCAAGGATGATATGATATCCTTCACAGTAGATATTTGAACAATTAGTAACCATCCGGATCAGATAAAACACACACATACACACATACACACACACACACACACACACACACACACACACACACACACATACCATGTATACATCACTTCAGGGGACATTACATTGACTTACATGCATTTCCTGGAGACTTATCCTAACCTTAACCATAACCAACACATGCCTAACCCTAACCCTAATCCTAACCCTAACCCTAATCCTAAACCTAACCAAGTCTTCACCCTAAAATTAATGATTCCCCTTATGGAGACCTCCAATTTGTCCCCATAAGAGAGGCGAGTCCCCACACGTGACTGTGTAAACAGATTTAGGTCCCCACAAGTATATTAATGCTAGGCCACACACATACACACACACACTCTAGATGTGTCCCCCCCCCCTTATGTGCCCAATCCCCCCATGTGAATCACACCTGGCACACGCAAACACACAGAACAATTTGACACATTTCCCGCTCTTATGTGCCCATCCCCCCACATGGATCACAGCCAGGCCCTCCCATTTGACTTTCTTGCCCTTCCCCAATAAACACGATTTTTATTATTTATAAAAATTAAAAAAAAAATATTTTTATTTTTGTTGTTGTTATAAATAAACTGTGAACTTTTATGCTACGATGTATGTGATATCAGATCGTAACTAAAACAAAAAAATCGCAGGCTACGTCAAATAAATTCACGTGTCTGTTGTGATTTGTGATTCGTCCACATTTAGACCAATCACAGCGTCACACTCTGCCGCCTATTCTGGATTTGTTTATTGTTTATTGTGCATTCTGTAGACTCCCATTTCTGTTTGAATTACACAATGGACATCAGAAATTGGCTCAAAAGCTCTAAGGATTTATTAAAACGAAATAGCGATGAAAGAACTGCAGCCGATGGTGCTGCTGGCGACCCTGCACCTGCCGTTGCAGCAGCACGCCTTAATGTCACAAGCTTGACCTCGGCAAACCCCGGGGCTGAGTTAGCGAGCCCAATCCTTGACTCATCAAGGCGACCGCCACCAACGATGTCCTCCGAGGCACAGCTCCTTGTGCCCCTACCGTCACCACCTGCGTTGACACACCCTGTACCACACCTGCCAGCATCCTCCTCCTCCTGCTCCGTGCCGGTGCCTCCGCTCCAGACGCTACCTTGCAGCACATCAACAGGTACTATTGGGCCAGCAACCGCTCAAAGACCAACAGCCCCAGATGATCTTGGGGTTAATAAACCCAGCCAGGTGAAACTGGATCGTTATCCAGAGAGATTGTTTTCAGGAAAGAAGCGCATTTTAGCCGCTGCATGGAACAACAACAGACCATGGCTTGAAGATTCGTTAAAAGCAGACGCAGCCTTTTGTTTCCCCTGTAGACAGTTTAAAGTAAATACGTCTTCATCTGATGCGGCTTTTACTGTCAAAGGTTTTTGCGACTGGAAACACGCATTACAGACTGATAAAGGACTGCTAAGACATGCCGCATCAAAAGAACACATTTCATGTGAGAGTTTGTGGAGAGAGAGAGAAGAGAGAGAGAGAGAGAGAGAGAGAGAGAGAGAGGAGAGAGGAGAGAGAGAGGAGAGAGAGGAGAGAGGAGAGAGAGAGAGAGAGAGAGAGAGAGAGATACGCGAGGAAACAAATACGGAAATTAGTACTTTGGTGCAGATCAGCTGCATGGAGCCATTATTACGTGTCAGCTGTCGTTGATATTATAGCTTTTTTAGCTGTCAACCAACTCCCTCTCAGAGGTGACCACGATTCACTCCACAGCATGTCCGAGTCAGGCAGTGGGCTCTTCCTATCGCTGTTTGAGTATACGCTGCAGCACAAAGATGCAGAGCTGGCCACAATAATGGAAAGCATTCCCCACACAGCAACACACACCTCTCACGACATGCACAATGCCATAATAGAGCTAACAGCAGTTCATCGTCTCCGTCTCTACTATTTCTCTCCGAGTGCAGCGATGAGGAAGCTGCCATCCTTAACCAGTGTGCCTTGCTCGTGATTCACCAGTGTTTGTGCTGCCACGCACACAATGTTTCAAAAGTAGTTTCTATGTTGCCCTTTATTTGTGTATGTATTTGCGATAAGTGTGCGTCTTTGCGCAATGCTGTTTGATATATATATTGTGCCGCAGACCCGCAGCATGTGACGGTGTTGTGGGCCCTCCCATGAAAATCATATGCCCTCCCTTTAGATTTGTTCTGGCGCCGGGTCTGCATGTTCAGTGTCTATTCTTTGTATATTTACTGCAGTGTTTCATGTGTACCAGTAGTCTAATACAATATGTACATTTTGAAAGGGTGTTAAATGACATTTGGTGATGATTAATGTTTTTTGTGTTAATGTAATAGCAGTTAAAACAGGACCGGTCAAATTTAACGAACACCAAAGTGAGGGGGGGGGAAACGAAGACAATAGGAGGGTTAAAGTGTGGTAATGGAGTTTGAACCCTGAGATATGAGAAGCACTCCCTCCTCATTATACGTTTAACAAGTAATCGCTGTAGACATTACACAGAGTGATGTGTGTGTTGAAGAATTACTCTGAGAGCTTTTTTTAATGGGAAGTATGCCTGATAACAAATTAAAGCTGGAGGTGGCAACAGGAAATCATCTGGAAGACAAACACATGACGGCAGGACACCTCCTCATCCCAGAGGACGATGTGTTTTATCGTAGAAATAATCATAAAGACATGTAGGATAAAGACGTGACGACAGGGCGTTACTATGGCTACATTAATCTAATTAAACGTGCGGTAATGCATCAGAAATAACAATAATAGGTGATACAAATCAGAACATACAGTGGAGGTATATGTCATGTTTTGTGCATTTTTTCGGGGGGTTTTCTCACCAAGAAGACGATGTTGGTGTTCTGGTAGAGCGCTCTGGCCACGCAGATCCTCTGTCTCTGACCTCCACTCAGGTTGATGCCCTGAATCACAGCAGAACACACACAATATCAGCTTATTTTCAAAATAAAGTAACATTGAATGAGTCGGGGAAGATACCAAACCATTCTGTTGCAAAATATTTTAAAACAATCACTTCTCTAAGGGTTCATTTAAATAATACTACAAATGTAACTAGAATATTCACCTACATAACATTTGATGCTAAGAAGGTGACAGTAGTAGCTGTTTTGTTGCTTTCTGGGGCTTTTACTTTGAAAAACAATACTTTTCCTGAGCTTTCAGTAAGGATACGGTAACTCTATAGGGATTTTATTTTGAAAAACAATACTTTTCCTGAGCCTTTAGTGAGGATACGGTAACTCTATAGGGCTTTTACTTTGAAAAACAATACTTTTCCTGAGCTTTCAGTAAGAATACGATAACTCTATAGGGCTTTTAATTTGAACAACAATACTTTTCCTGAGCCTTCAGTAAATATACGATAACTCTATGGGGCTTTTACTTTGAAAAGCAATACCTTTCCTGAGCCTTCAGTAAGGATACGGTGGCTCTATAGGGCTTTTACTTTGAAAAACAATACTTTTCCTGAGCCTTCAGTAAGGATACGGTAACTCTATAGGGCTTTTACTTTGAAAAACAATACTTTTCCTGAGCCTTCAGTAAGGATACGGTAACTCTATAGGGCTTTTACTTTGAAAAAACAATACTTTTCCTGAGCTTTCAGTAAGGATACGGTAACTCTATAGGGCTTTTACTTTGAAAAACAATACTTTTCCTGAGCCTTCAGTAAGGATACGGTAACTCTATAGGGCTTTTACTTTGAAAAACAATACTTTTCCTGAGCCTTCAGTAAGGATATGGTAACTCTATAGGGCTTTTACTTTGAAAAACAATACTTTTCCTGAGCTTTCAGTAAGGATACGGTAACTCTATAGGGCTTTTACTTTGAAAAACAATACTTTTCCTGAGCTTTCAGTAAGAATACGGTAACTCTATAGGGCTTTTACTTTGAAAAACAATACTTTTCCTGAGCTTTCAGTAAGGATACGGTAACTCTATAGGGATTTTATTTTGAAAAACAATACTTTTCCTGAGCCTTTAGTGAGGATACGGTAACTCTATAGGGCTTTTACTTTGAAAAACAATACTTTTCCTGAGCTTTCAGTAAGAATACGGTAACTCTATAGGGCTTTTACTTTGAAAAACAATACTTTTCCTGAGCCTTCAGTAAGGATATGGTAACTCTATAGGGCTTTTACTTTGAAAAACAATACTTTTCCTGAGCCTTCAGTAAGGATACGGTGACTCTATATGGCTTTTATTTTGGTAAAACAGCCTCGCCTGGAGCTTCTTGTTTGTGCACAGTACCTCTATAGCGCTTTTATTTTGAAAAACAATACTTTTCCTGAGCCTTCAGTAAGGATACAGTAACCATATGAAGCTTTTATGTGGAAAACCAAGCAAAACCTGAGCTTCCTGCAACAATTAAGTTACTTTCTGGGCTTTCATTTTGAAATTAGCTTCCTGTTAGTGTACAGTAACTCTATGTGGCTTTTATTTTGAAAAAGGTGAGCTGTTTGGTGTCATTATGTGAGGTTATTCCATAAAAAGGGGGTGTTAAAATATGCCTACCCTCTCTCCAATCTCAGTTTGGTCTCCAAAAGGCAGCAGGTCGATATCAGGCTGCAGAGAACAAGCGTCTATCACCGTCTTGTACCTGAAAAACACATCAAACACCATCAGAGATGAACATTAAGTGGTCATTTAAGGAAGTTACAATGTCATTTTCTTACATTACAAAGTGATAAAAGCACCAAAGAATTAATTAACTTCAATCTGTGTCTCTTGTTTTTACCTCTGCTTGTTGAAAGGACTTCCGAAAGGTGATGTTTTCTTCCACCGTGGCGTTGAGCAGCCAGGACTTCTGGGTAGCGTAGGCCACAGAGTACCTGTTCTTGCTAGGTGCATCATGGGAAACAGAGGCAAAGAGACAAGTTAGAACTACAAGTCATGTGTTCATAAAGCCTTAAAGAGCACGAGTACTGATCTGGGTTCAATGATTTTAAGGTGGCTCACTTAATACATAATTAAAACATATATGTGGCTAAAGCTAACCAATACATTACTGATAAAACGTTGAATAACTTCCTTTTTTTGTCTAAAGGTGTTTATTTTACATTTTCTAAACAATATATGGAATTATTTTATAAGAGTATTTTTATCCTTTGCTGATAAGTGAGCCAAAGCTTCTTTCTTTCACTTTTTTGTACACAATTTATCCTTTTGTGACTATTCATTCAACTGAAATACATAATGACAAGGATAGAGTTTATTGAACTTAATTTCTTTTATAGGATAATGACATACTACATGCTGGAGATACAAAAAAATATAGCTTTTTAGGATAAAACTGCACTTAAATGCACCCCAAAATGCATATAATATTAAAGATCAGTCCATTAGATGCAATGATTTGTCTTTTCAAAGCCTATAAAATCTCTATTATTACATATATGTTGTTAAACTGACAGTCTAAACCATGTTTTCTTCCTTTTGAAGCGAACACTATTTACTACATTTGCATTACATCAAATTCATATGTCAGCATTTCTACCAGTCACACTTTTATATCCATCTCTTGCTTAAAAATGGTTCCTTAAATGTATTTAAAAGGTAAAGCTGTTCTCAGATCAGTTCTCCTGTTCTCCGCAGCTTTATAGAAGCGACACCCAAACACAGAAAAGGGAACGAGAGGAAGGATCAAACTGCACATGAGGATGTTTTGTCAGAAAGGAGAGATACATATGGATCGGGTTAAGGATGAGATGCAAACCACCTCCAGCCTGATCAACAACAACAACACCAACAACACCAACAACAACACAACAGAGATACAACAACAATAAACTGAAGCGTTGTGCTGGGAGTCTGCTGAGGTTTTTCATTCAACCTTTAAAAACAAACTTATATTCACGTAATTTTTTAGTATCCTGTCTTAGGATATTTCCCCTTAGTATGAAGTTACACGATATTTTGTAGTATGACGTGTTGTCCTTGTTAATTAAAGGATTATTCTACATTTTAGACAACTACAAACATGTAGAAAGGCAAATGTTTGCATGAAGAGTATGCAACGGTATTGTGTGAATCAGAATCGGTTTTATTTTCCAAGTAGGTTTACACATACGAGGAATTTGCTTTTCCATAAGTGGTGCATACAGAGAGCCAGAAAGTAGAATAAGCATAAAACAAGATAAAAAAGTACACAATTCTAAAAGCTAAGACTAGAAGAAAAACAAAAGACAATATTTACACAACACATAGTTATGTAGGAAACTGAGAGCAGTTCAAATGTAATAAAATAAGACTGAATTATATTCAAAGTGGAGAGCTATGCTGATTTAAAAAAGAGGTTGTGCAGGATTTAAAATATTTTATCTCTCATATATTGCAGAAATCTCTTATGGCGCATTTCCACTGCTTAGTGCGGTAATGTTAGGCCTTGGTTGGCCAGGCTCACTTTATGCTGCGCTTCCATTACAGTTTAGTAGCTGGGGCAGTAACTATAGTAACGCAGTGTAGGCGGAGCCGTGACGTCATCTTCAATACGAAGCCACAGACAACCAACATCAGCCGTTAGCTGTTAGCACTCAGAGCTCACAGCTCCTCATATCTGTTCAGAAACTAGACAGAAGTTAAACAAGTACAAACGACAGACTGCCTGTGTCATGGAGAATACAGTCGCTGGTTTATGTATGTCTGTAGGCCGTTGTTGTGAGTGTGGACGGTCGGAGCATTTACAACGTTAGCTTAGCCAAGCTCCATTCAGACAACACGCATTTTAAAAGGTTGTTCGCCTGCCGTCTGTCTGCAGACTCGTCAAAGCGTTAATTCATGGTTTTTACTAACCGGTATCAGTGTGTTGTTACTTCGGCATCATTTAGAAACGTGTATTACAATTAAATCACGGTCAAATATGTTCATGTTGTTGTAGTTGCCAGCGATTCTCTCTCTAGTTTCAGCAGACTCAGCCCGGTTGTTGGCCCGGAAAGAACCTCGATTTTGGAGAGCCAGAAAAACTGTGAAAAAGTACCCGTTAGCCTGAACTACGCCGAGTGGAAACGCAACAAAAACGGGCCGGGTTTGGCACGGCACGCTTAAACCGTGCTACGCGCTGCAGTGGACATTTGCCATAAGTGTGATACGTGTTATAATAATTTTTTTTTACAGTATTTACGTGTCTTGTGCTGAATTATTAGAGCATTAATGAAGAGACACATTAGTTTGAAGGTCAAAAATCATTATAGAACTAACTTTATACATGTGCAGAAATGTGCATTAATATTACATTACATGTCACTTGTTAGACGCTTTTATCCAAAGCGACTCACATACTCAATACTGTGGACAATCCCCACAGGAGCAATTTGGGGTGAAGTGTCTCAGGGACACAACGACATGCTGACTGCAGTGGGGTTTGAACCTGTGACTCCCTGATCCGAACACAAACGCACAACCCACTGCGCCACACGCCTCCCTAATAAAGCATCTTGTTTGTTTGTTTGTTTGTTTGATTAAGGACAATGACTCCCAGCATTAAAAGCACAAACCACACTGGGAACAGAGAGGAGGAAGAGCAACACAACGAGGACAAGAAGACGGTTCTTAAAGTCTAAAGGCTGAAGCAGCTGATCCTGAACACACACATATGAACATAATGCTGGGAGATCTAAAGTCATTTAAAGAATATTTTATGAGATATGTGTTCAATTCAAGAAAAAAGTAATAATTGCACGTAAAAGAAAACTGGGATATTCTCTAAGAATGATCAGACATATTAAATGACTATAAGTATTACAAAGGTAGAAAAAGCTATTACTTATTGATACAAAAATAAAATAATAGCAAGTAAAATAATTTGAGAGAAAAAAAATAAAATTAAAATGTTTTTCTCAGAGATTTAAGTAAAAATAAAAATATGAGAACATTTAGAAAATATATAAATGTATATACATGTATATTAGTATAAGAAAGTTACATAAAACTAATAAAATCTCCAAAATGATAGCATGTTAACTAAAAAAAAGATTACAGACTGAACTGCAGTATGTAAACGCTTTGAGGGGAGAGACTGGATAAAGCTCTATATAAGTATAGTCCATTTACCATTATATTTATGCAGTATAATGCACCGTGAAATACATTAACATAAAAACTAACACGGTCCATATGTGTGTGTGCATGAACAACATCGCCATAAATACTACAGGACTAGCTTTGAGTGCAGCGGTATCAGTACTTTCTCCTGAGAGAGGTGAAGGGTAAGGATGGAGAATGAAGTGACATCACAGACAGAAAAACAAAAAGGAGGTGAACGAGGGGTCAGAGGTCACTTCAGATCTGAAACAGGAAGAGGAAGGTCTACCTCTGGACGTCTTCATCTCTCTCCTCTGCCCCTGACCAACTGTCAAAGTCACGTCATTGAGTTAGAGCGACATCTAATGAGTGTGTATAAAAAAAGTCCTAGAAAGACAAGGTAAACTTAACTAATGTGCATTTAAAAAAAAGGTATCATGGGGTCAGATTAGAACTTTCCAGAGGGGGGTTCGTTTAGCATGAAGCACTTGAAATAACTAAAGGATAAGTTAACAAAGAAAGTAGAAAGAAAGTGAGGTCAAAGAAAACTATTTCTGCTAAAACGTTAGCAAAGATTGAGAGCTGTATCTCACACGGCACTGTCACTTTAATTCATGTTCCTTTGCTTTTAAATGAGTGTTTTTAAATGCCTTTTTATGATATGTTTCTTAACCCTCCTATTGTCTTCGTGTTCCCCCCCTCACTTTGGTGTTCGAGGTCAAATGTGACCGGTCCTGTTTTAACTGCTATTATATTAACACAAAGACCATTAATCATCACCAAATTTCATTTAACACCCTTTCAAACTGTACATATTGTATCAGACTACTGGTACACATGAAACACTGCAGTACATATACAAAGAACAGACACTGAACATGTATTGGTGTGCCAGGTGTGATCCATGTGGGGGGAGGGGCACATAAGAGCGGGAAATGTTTCAAATTGTTCTGTGTGTGTGTGTGTGTGTGTGTGTGTGTGTGTGTGTGTGTGTGTGTGTGTGTGTGTGTGTGTGTGTGTGTGTGTGTGTGTGTGTGTGTTTTATCTGATCCCAATGGTTACTAATTCCTTTTCTTTATGGCGGTCATGTTTGACCGGGAACACCATGGGTGTTACAAAGTTGACTAAATCATCCAAAATCCAACTAAAGTGGTGATCAGCCATTTCATATGTTCACATGTCTACTGTGAAGGATATCATAAAGCCTTAATGCAATCGAATGTAAAACAAAAAAGTTATGATTGATGAAAGTAGTAAATCGGTCAGATTTGACCCGAAGACAACAGGAGGGTTTATGCTCTTAATATCTTTCATTTTTGTAAAGCACTTTGAATTGCCTTGTGTTGGAAGGTGCTATATAAAGACAATACTTTTCCTGAGCCTTCAGTAAGGATACGGTAACTCTATAGGGCTTTTATGTTGAAAATCAACACTTTTCCTGAGCCTTCAGTAAGGATACGGTAACTCTATAGGGCTTTTATTTTGAAAAACAATACTTTTCCTGAGCCTTCAGTAAGGATACGGTAACTCTATAGGGCTTTTACTTTGAAAAACAATACTTTTCCTGAGCCTTCAGTAAGGATACGGTAACTCTATAGGGCTTTTACTTTGAAAAACAATACTTTTCCTGAGCCTTCAGTAAGGATACGGTAACTCTATAGGGCTTTTATTTTGAAAATCAACACTTTTCCTGAGCCTTCAGTAAGGATACAGTAACTCTATAGGGCTTTTACTTTGAAAAACAATACTTTTCCTGAGCCTTCAGTAAGGATACAGTAACTCTATAGGGCTTTTACTTTGAAAAACAATACTTTTCCTGAGCCTTCAGTACAGTGACTTTATGACTTTATGAAGCTTTTATGTAGAAAACCAAGCGAAACCTGAGCTTTCTGCAACAATTAAGTTACTTTCTGGGCTTTCATTTTTTTAAATTAGTTTCCTGTTAGTGTACAGTAACTCTATGGGGCTTTTATTTTGAAAAGGTGAGCTGTTTGGTGTCATTATGTGGTTATTCCATAAAAAGGGGGTGTTAAAATATGTCTACCCTCTCTCCAATCTCAGTTTGGTCTCCAACTGAGATTGGGGAGATAAATAAATAAACTTGCCTTGTCCAAAATATCATATCTACCTTAAATAATAAAACAGCTTGTATAGCAGGAAAGTTAACTTTAATATCTTATGATTTTAAGAATAGAAGATATTTTTTATATGTGTGAAACTTGTGTCAAAAGTTTGTCAAAATAGAAAAATCTAAATAAAAAGTCACATCATTGAGTTAGAGCGAGATCTAATGAGTGTGTACTTGTGTTTGTGAGTGGAAATATGGCAATACAAAAGACAGAGGAGACAGCTGAGAGGAACAAACAAACATCTGTTAATAACAAGAAGAAGAGAGCGGACAGAGGGAGGGAAGGAGAACGTGGCGGACGTGTTTTCCCACCAGATAATGAAGACATGATGTCGACGGCCAAATGTTAAACGGATTAAACTTCCCACCCCGAGGAGGAGAAGAAGAGGAGTGGAAGTGATGTGGTCACTGTCTGTCGGCCATTATTGGGTTTGTGGCTTCTTCTGAAATGTCTCATATTCTCTGACTGTGAGGGTGTGTGTGATAATTAAAGGGTTATTCAGTGGGTCTTCACAGAACGAGGCCAAGGCAGGTTTTTTTAACTTCTAACCTGTAGGTTTTAGTGGAAATGTTTTAATAAAAGTGACCAGAAAATGACTATCCCAGCCTTTAAGCGCAAAGGTGATTTGCAGGTGAAAAGAGGTCTAGGCGCTCAGGTAAAAACTGGACTTAATTTGTGATTTTCAGTTAAACCTGTAATTAATTATGTGTGTTGTATATTTTAAGTAAGTTGTGTTTTTAAATGTTTTTATGAATGTTATCCTGTATGTAAAGCGACTTTGAGTAGCTCGAAAAGCGCTCTATGAATCAAATGTATTATTATAATTATTTTTAAAATTATTTTATATAAATATATATACATTAAATGGATAATAACTACTATATATATTTTTTCATTATTATATATATTTTGTTACTGTCTATTATTTTTTCTGTAAATCAACGAATTCGTCAACTAATCATTGCAGCTCTAGTTTTTCTAAAGTGTTCCTCAGGTTCATGGATGCCGGAAGGGGGGGGTGCTGCGAGGCTCCACTAGCACCCGCACCCCCAAACGCGGCGCACCTACAGTGTAAGCGCTGTTAGGGAATAACTTGCTTAGGTATTCAACCTTCGACACAGTTCATCGTTTTCTCCTCTCACTGTCTCTTTCCCACGGCATAGGTCTACGGCCTGGGGTATTGCTGCTATCTCTCTTAAGGAGGGGGAGCTTGGACGCATTGTTGTTGCCAGTCTATGACGGAGCACAAGCCACCATGAGGTAGTTTACTGTTCAGGGACGAAGGTTCCCTGACGCACATACTTCTCTATGGACGAGAGCTCTATAGATTCAGGGTCCATAATGTTTAGTCTCATTGATAAAGAATGTTGATTATTACACTCTGAACTAGTTAAAACCTCGAGCTACAGAAAGAGTTCTTCAGAATTGGTTTGGCGACCGCTGTGTCAACTCGTGGCACGTGACATGTCTTGTGAATTCTCCGGCCGAAAATAAACCGTCAGTGTTTGCCGTCAAAGCACCAGCTCTCCTCGAGTCCTGACTCTCCATTGCTACAGAAGTTTCCCCCACAAGCGCGCCACAGTTTCCACTAGCCCCCCCCCCCCCCCCCCCCCCCCAGGTTGTCACAGTGTCGCCGCTGCGAGACGCTACTAGCCCCCCGCCCCCCCCCGCGCCGCACCCCCAACTCTGACTGACTTCCCGCATCCCTGATCTGCCGCTACTCAATTATTTTGACATTTTCTCAGATCTTTTGTTGGGGGTATTTTTGACTATTAAAATGTCTTTAAGTGACTATTAAACCCTCAACAGATAAAAAGTATAACTACTTTATGTTTGTTTTTTCTTCATCTGTATTAGGATGATCATACTGCTTGCAATTAAGTTGATTTAAGCTTCTTACACGTTACATAAATCACCGTAAACTGGACGAATGGATGGAGATTAAATATGAGTGTTTACAGACAGAGTGAGGGATTGTGTTTCAGGAAGAAGGGACCAGAGAGAAAGTACCTGATGTTCCCCTCGTGAGCCATCTCATTATCAGACTGCCTGATATGGCAAGAGAGCAGGAGGTGAAGAGAAAGAAACACACACACACAATACAATACAATACACACACACACACACACACACACACACACACACACACACACACACACACACACACACACACACACACACACACACACACACACACACAACACACACACACACACCCAGACAAAGGTTAGTGTGCAGCCCTTGAAGCTACAGATTCTCCTTTATCTTGCATTTACAAAATATGTTATATAAGACGTGCTTGGATGTGTGTTGCATGTACTAAAGTGGATTCTTGTATACAATGAAATGCATGTTGTTATGCTGCATCAGGCACGGTACTCTACAGATTTAGACCTGTAGATATATAGGGAGACATTTGAAAGAAAGAAGAAGAAGTAATGGCATCAAAGAAACAAGAAAGATATAGAAGTATCACTGGAAACACACAGCTTGACGAGCTGATAGGAAAATAAATACATGTTTTCCGACTTGGCCACATTATAAGGTATATTAACTGTGATTTAAATCTAAATGGCTACAGATGTCAGTTTACAACATGTTTGAGTCGCTGGGAATGGAAATGGTAAAAGTCATAGTACTCTTTTCAAGAAAGCATTCAAATATAACTGGATAAAAGACATAAAAAATACACGTTCTTTATTTCTATAATCACCTTCTTCAATCTCTAAAAGTGAACAAACTCTTGCATAAGACATGAGATTCTTCCACTGCTCCTTTCTCCCCATGACACAGACCCCACACGGCATCTTAGAGATACAAAATAATCTTTGTTTGCTTGTAAGAAAATCTAAAAAGACACTATTTCATAATATGTTTTATAATGGTCTTACTTGCTCCAGTAGACCCTCCCATCGATGGTCTGCATCTCCCCGAGCATGGCCAGCAGCAGAGAGGATTTCCCACAACCCACCTGGCCTACAATCATGGTCAGCTGACCTGAAGAGGCAGGAAACAAGTGGTGGAGAAAGTTAGTATTGGTGTTTCCCTACGATAATACAGCGTAGTATTTTTTAAAAACGTATGTAAATCCCACCTGTGGGGATGCAGATGTTGATGTCGGACAGCGTGGACAGGTTGCTTCCCCAGGTGAAGAATCCATTGCTCACCTGGAGACAATCAATGCAAAACGAACAGAACAGTATTTATCCCACCGTAGATATTGAAGAAGATTCAACGTATTGTCCTTACGTAGTACAGGTACTATGTAACGAAACGGTTTCTCTGCATTTGACCCATCCTAGTGTTAGGAGCAGTGTGCTGCCATTATGTACGGCGCCCGGGGAGCCGTGTAGGGAACGGTGCCTTGCTCAGGGACACCTCGGTAGCACTTGGTCTTTCCGGGACTTGAACAGGTGACCTTCCAGTTGCCAAGCCAATCCCTATGGTGGTTGCATGCCATTATTTCTTTTAATGTCATAATTAGGGCCGGGACTCGATTAAAAAAATTAATCTAATTAATTAGAGGCTTTGTAATTAATTAATCGAAATTAATCGCATTTTTAATCACATATAAATATTTGACCTGAGAACAGTGAGAAGCAATTTTTTTCACATGGATTTTAGTATACCATTAGGCGCATTCACACCGCAGTACTTTTCCCACAAAGGTTCATGAGAACTTAGTTCATGAGAACTCTTTGAACCTGGGGGTGGATTAGGCAAATGAAGCCACTGACGTCACTTCTTCTTCTTCTGCTTTGGGTTTACTGGCAGGCCGCAAACCACTTCACGGCGTATACTGCCGCCCAAAGTCCCCGGCCGGAAGTCCCCGGAGTTGGGGACTGGCTTCAGTAGAAGCTGCTGGGAGTCCCAGCAGCCTTCCGAGTAAATCGCCAGAACGCCGACACCTCCTCATCTCCACCGCTCCAATGTTTTATTTTGTGTTGCCATAAGTTAGTCTCTCTGCGTTTCTGCGCTGGGCTAATGCTAATAATGCTAATGCGAGGATAATAAAATGGCGGCTTCACAAAACTTTTTGGGAGTTTTACGGGGCGTGGTTTGCAATCCGCCCAGCCAATCAGAAATATAGCTCTTTTCTCACAAGAGAGCCGTACGAAAGTCCCTGCTCTCTAGCAGCTCTCTGCTCTCTAGCAGGGACTTTCGTGGGGGTAAAAAGGTTCTCATGAACTAATTTTAGTACCGGCTCTTTTTGGTGTGAACGCGATAAAAGAGGCTAACGTCCACGCTAGCTGCTATATGTTTTGCATTGAGGTGATACTTGAGGCTTGATGTGCTGCGGTGATATGCGAATTCCTTTTTGCATAATTTGCACACAACCGTGCTCTTATCGACGCTTCCATCCGTCCGTTTTTTAAAACAACATTTCCCACTGTTGTTCACTGTGGTTTGTTGTTGTCTGAAGTCATGAACGTTAGTTGGTGCTCCAGTATAATCGGTACGCCTGAAACTCATCCAGTGAGAAACGTTCCGCGGTGCAAAAATAAGTGCGATTAAAATGCGTTAATTTTTTTAACGCGTTAATTTTTGTGTAATTAATTAATCTTAATTAACGCGTTAAAGTCCCGGCCCTAGTCATAATATATGTTGCATTGCTTGAGTAGCCTAGGCCTGGTCTCCATTTTGTATATGACAATAAAGCATTATATTACAAGTCATTTGTTAGACGCTTTTATCCAAAGCCACTTACATACATTCAGTACTGTGGACAATCCCCACAGGAACAATTTGGGGTGAAGTGTCTTGCCTTGTGTGCCCAGGGACACAACGACATGCTGACTGCAATGGGACTCAAACTTGCTACCCTCTGATTCGAAGTCCAGCACTCTACCCACTGAGCCACAGCCGCCCTCAGCCCTAAAGCTTTTGAATTGAACCGATGCTTCAATTTGGATTCCTTCAAAAGGTTTGAAAGGATATTGTGTGATGAAGTATTTGTCTGTGCAGAGGATGTCTCTGTTATTGAGCAACACAGAGCTACGTGCTGTTTTCTTGTTATGCGCAGACCCGCATGACCCATTTCATGTCCTGACCCGGAGTTTAAAAAAACCTCTCGTTCGAGTTCACTGGTGTGAAAGCTGCTCTGTTACACAATGACGGACACATGCTGAGTTCATGGTATGTGAGACTGAAGACAGACGTCATCATGTGACGCATTTCTGAGGTTCTGGAGAGTTCATCTCAACGTACACGGACAAATAAAACAACCTGACCCAAGAGGAGCAGGTGCTTTAGTGGGGAAAGACTGAGAACTCAGAAATACTAACGTTACATGTTCAATATTTGTCACAAGATGATACCATACCAAGACCTACAATTAAAGAGGACATATTCTGCTGCTGTTCAGGTGTGTATCAGTATGTAGTGTCTCTACTTTAAAGAGTCCTCTCCTGCTGATGTTCAGGTGTATATCAGTATGTAGTGTCTCTACTTTAAAGAGTCCTCTCCTGCTGATGTTCAGGTGTGTATCAGTATGTAGTGTCTCTACTTTAAAGAGTCCTCTCCTGCTGATGTTCAGGTGTATATCAGTATGTAGTGTCTCTACTTTAAAGAGTTCTCTCCTGCTGATGTTCAGGTGTATATCAGTATGTAGTGTCTCTACTTTAAAGAGTCCTCTCCTGCTGATGTTCAGGTGTATATCAGTATGTAGTGTCTCTACTTTAAAGAGTCCTCTCCTGCTGATGTTCAGGTGTATATCAGTATGTAGTGTCTCTACTTTAAAGAGTCCTCTCCTGCTGATGTTCAGGTGTATATCAGTATGTAGTGTCTCTACTTTAAAGAGTCCTCTCCTGCTGATGTTCAGGTGTATATCAGTATGTAGTGTCTCTACTTTAAAGAGTCCTCTCCTGTTGATGTTCAGGTGTATATCAGTATGTAGTGTCTCTACTTTAAAGAGTCCTCTCCTGCTGATGTTCAGGTGTATATCAGTATGTAGTGTCTCTACTTTAAAGAGTCCTCTCCAGCTGATGTTCAGGTGTATATCAGTATGTAGTGTCTCTACTTTAAAGAGTCTTCTCCTGCTGATGTTCAGGTGTATATCAGTATGTAGTGTCTCTACTTTAAAGAGTCCTCTCCTGCTGATGTTCAGGTGTATATCAGTATGTAGTGTCTCTACTTTAAAGAGTCCTCTCCTGCTGATGTTCAGGTGTATATCAGTATGTAGTGTCTCTACTTTAAAGAGTCCTCTCCTGCTGATGTTCAGGTGTATATCAGTATGTAGTGTCTCTACTTTAAAGAGTCCTCTCCTGCTGATGTTCAGGTGTATATCAGTATGTAGTGTCTCTACTTTAAAGAGTCCTCTCCTGCTGATGTTCATGTGTATATCAGTATGTAGTGTCTCTACTTTAAAGAGTCCTCTCCTGCTGATGTTCAGGTGTATATCAGTATGTAATGTCTCTACTTTAAAGGGTCCTCTCCTGCTGATGTTCAGGTGTATATCAGTATGTAGTGTCTCTACTTTAAAGAGTCCTCTCCTGCTGATGTTCAGGTGTATATCAGTATGTAGTGTCTCTACTTTAAAGAGTCCTCTCCTGTTGATGTTCAGGTGTATATCAGTATGTAGTGTCTCTACTTTAAAGAGTCCTCTCCTGCTGATGTTCAGGTGTATATCAGTATGTAGTGTCTCTACTTTAAAGAGTCCTCTCCAGCTGATGTTCAGGTGTATATCAGTATGTAGTGTCTCTACTTTAAAGAGTCTTCTCCTGCTGATGTTCAGGTGTATATCAGTATGTAGTGTCTCTACTTTAAAGAGTCCTCTCCTGCTGATGTTCAGGTGTATATCAGTATGTAGTGTCTCTACTTTAAAGAGTCCTCTCCTGCTGATGTTCAGGTGTATATCAGTATGTAGTGTCTCTACTTTAAAGAGTCCTCTCCTGCTGATGTTCATGTGTATATCAGTATGTAGTGTCTCTACTTTAAAGAGTCCTCTCCTGCTGATGTTCAGGTGTATATCAGTATGTAGTGTCTCTACTTTAAAGAGTCCTCTCCTGCTGATGTTCAGGTGTATATCAGTATGTAGTGTCTCTACTTTAAAGAGTCCTCTCCTGCTGATGTTCAGGTGTATATCAGTATGTAATGTCTCTACTTTAAAGAGTCCTCTCCTGCTGATGTTCAGGTGTATATCAGTATGTAATGTCTCTACTTTAAAGGGTCCTCTCTCTACATGGCCTATAAAACCATGTACTTAAAAACACATTATCTACAACAAGTTTGGGACAAAGTGTTTGATTTCTGCACAAAATCAACATAAAGAAAAGTCAACATACTGTAAGGAAGGAATGCATCTAATGATCTTGTTTGCCGGCCAAAAGAAGGTAAACAAATCTAAATATTTAATAATAAACATTGACATCAGATCAGATATTTGTTCCAACATTTTCTCATGCACTTTTAAGTAGATATTGAGTCTCCAACATGGAAAATAACTGTGGGTTCTCGTGTGGTTAGAAAGAGAAAATTGAGATCTTTATCCAATGGAGGCAAATAAAAGTTGTTGTTGTTGTTGTTGTTCTATTTATTTACATATGGATGCAAAATAAAGCTTCAGTCTCTATGCAACATGCTGTATATTATCCACCATCTTTATGAGTGTTTCACAGCGTTAAATCTCCGGGGGAAATGGATCAGAACATGGCCTTCATATCTGATCTCTGTTCAGTGATCTATCACCCTGCTTCCTGCTGTTTACATTCCTCCCATCTGTTGCATTTATTTGTTTATTTTATGTTTATTTTATCTGACAACCCCCCCCACCCACAAAAAAAGCTTTTCTTGAATATCCCCTCGTGACACAGATCCCAAAAGGCATCTCAGAGATACAAAATAATCTTTGTTTCCTTGTAAGAACATTTAAAAAAGGCACTACTTTCTTATAAGAGACCTGTAGTATTTTGAATCCTGTTGTATTTTTGACTATTTATTTTAATATTCCAGAATATTTTTGATTGTTTTGTCTATATTTAATATAATATTCTTAATTTTTTCATTTTATTTGTAATTGTTAATTCTCTTTTCCACTTTTTAAAGTATTTTAAGTATTGTATTTCAATGTCTGAACACACTTCTGCTTCTGTGACGAAAGAATTTCCCAAATTGGGATCAATAAAGTATCTATCTATCTATCTATCTATCTATCCGTCTATCCATCTAT